TGATAAAGCCGGTTGCATGGTCCTTGATGGGCAGCTGGTCGTGACCAGGGGGTTCCACTGGGGGATCCCAGTTGTCAGCCTCTAAGGCTCGGGCCATTATTATTGAGAGCCTGTCATTTAGCGCCAAGAGGGTATCTACCGGTAATTATGAAATGGGCGCGATGTGGACCCTATCTGGCGCCGTCACGGGCAGGCATTCGTCCGTGCTCGTGCCGTTAGCCAAGCGCGCCTGCCAGTAAAAAAATATACTGCAACAGGGATCTTTAAGACTTTGATTGGATATGTTCCAGGTTGTCCACTTGTCTGGCCTATCCTTGTTACTGTGCCCCTTAATTAATTAATTGCTTTTGCTCACCCATAATGAAAGTCCCAAAAATACACAGACAGTTCAGCCGGAGGAGGCAGCCAGCCCCTTCCAGAATGAATAAATCCACCATACTCGGCTTTGGAAAGCATCAAAAAAGTATAGAAGATTGTGCTACAATTATGACTGGAGTTGTGTTCATACAAATCTACGTAACACTTCCCGATCCCAAAGATCTAGCGGCAGCAGACTATGAACGGGGTCAGTCTTCGAAGACCTATATTAATAGCACAGAGTGCTCAAGGGGTCCTCAAGTACTCCGTACGGCTGCGGCTATCTCGTGAAAATATGGGCCTGTGTCATCGGATAGTGGACTTGGAGCTAACTTGTGTATAGTATGGTTCGCGATAGCCAATGATGGCTGATCTTGAAGGAGAAAGAAAAATAACCTAGTAAGCAATAGTTCTCTAGCGAGGGTGGTCTCTGTGTAGGGCAAAAACCTAAGATAAGGTTGCATGCTTGACCGTCTGCACCGTTAACTATCAGCAGTTTCTGTGCTGATTAATCGATTTTTGGGGTAGGCTGAAGATAGTCCATTTTTATTGATGAGGGTAGGTCTAAAGGACTTTATGTAAAATGTAAAGATCAAGAATTATCAGCCCTGTCAAGCCCTGAAGCTGTGTCACGAAGGATTGTGTTGGAACGATATTATCAACCAGACCAGAGAGGTAGAGTATCTTGACCTAATCCACATACCGCACAGCACCTTGCTTGGCCTAGGCTTGGCCTACCATTCCAAATGGCATACCAAGGGATCAGGAATGCATGGGTGTAAACAAAATGGAACTATAAATAGCTAGGCAGATTGTAGTTAGAAATGAGACTTCACTTTTACCCACCGAGCATATACCTATATTCAGTTGAATCGATAGGATATCTGCTTAGGGCAATGACCAAGTCAACCGACAGATTGTTTCGTGTGTACTTGCGCCATTGCAGCTACATTACGTCTGCCTTGGGTTGAAATATAAAAGCTTCAAAAGAGTTGACCTGATGTCTATTATAGCTTACCTAGTGAGGAGTTTGACCTACAACGTCATAGACCATGCTTTCACCCAGATCTCGCCGGTTGGAATCTGCGAATTCCCTTGAACGAGCGATTTGTCGGGAAATATGAGCTTATTTGTTCTCTCGTATACGATGCAGAAACTTGACAGACTTCAGCCGATTTCATAGGGCAAAAAGAGGGTTGGGCAACTTTGATTGGATTTGAGTGCGGTAGGCAAGAAAGAGAAGAGATAGGGCAAAGGTAGAGTAAAAGAAAACTATTCACCGCTGGGGGATGAAGCAAGAAGTGAAAAAATGTTGCTTGGGGTTAATCAACAGCAGTTGACGGCTTGACGGACGATCCATTCGTAGATAGGTGAATAGGTAACTGCTTAGATAAAACAATAGATATTAACTTACTTGTGTGATGCCTTGGGTCCTGCAACAGGAGCAAAAGGAAGCTACGCGAAGTAAAAATGATGCGGAGCTTTCGGTCATTGTTTGTAAGGGAAACTCAAACATGATAGCTTATGATGCTCACCTTGGTCATTGGATGACTCATACCACTACCTACTTCGATCCTACTACTACATCTTCCCCCGCCTCCGCTCGCATCTCATTGTCGCCAGAACACATTACAGGCTATGAACTACCTATCAGATGTATCAACAGAATTACCAAAAAATCGGTTCCGGTTTCTGTGGAACTGTCTGGGCCAGAAGCCTCGATGGTCCCGCCATCAAACGTGAAGATGGTGGGCCAGCCCGATCACTCGCAAATGATTTTAGAATGCACCAACGCGCGCTGGATGCCTTCAAGCAGATAGGACTCATTAAGGGCTATCGCAAACATCGTCAAGTCTGTATCCCACAGTGCTACCGTTTTATAGAACCACAAAACATAATCTGGTGGATAGAAAATCTCCCATTTTTTCCACCTGGTTATTTACCCTGCAACGCTATCTGCTCCGACCGAATACCACCGTTCCCCCAAGATACCAGGGGTCTTCTGGCAGAGAAATACTGTCGGCTTCCACCTGAAACTCGCCTCCAGATTATGGCCAGTTCGAGTAACCAGGCCTGTCTGATTAGGCCCTATATCGGCCGTCAACGCACCTATCGAACGGCAATGAACGTGCACTCTAAATTCCGAGGCTTCTCTCTACAGAACTTTCCGCTACATGTAGACCAAATGACTGAGTTGGGAATACCGTCTGACGATATCGATTGCTACGCCGCTATGATGGGAGAAGCCTTGGCTACGCTGCACTGGCTTGGGGAGATGGATGGCAACGACGTGGAGTTCGTTCTGGCTCCACTACCTAGGAGGAGAGATGAGACCAATAACACGGACTATACGACGATCACAAATGTCTTAGGGAAGCATACTATGTGGATGTTAGATTTTGACCTCTGTCGTTCTCTCTCTATGGACTTGGATGGTGTCCAGCAAGCGGTCAATGCATTCTTCAAGAATGATCCCTTCACTCCACGGCCGAATACAAAGCACTGGACAGCATTTCGAAGACAGTATTTACAGACTGCTAGAGATGTGATATGTGGATTCTCTGGGGACAAGGCGGATTTGGAGGATCGGCTTTATCTCTCTAGTCAGTTCATTGAACTTGTTGAGCGGCAGGAACAAAGTGAATAAATGGAACTTGCTCGCCTTTCACTATTCTTTAATATACCTGCCCCTCGTATGTTCGACTCACTTGACTTTCTCTACTGTCTATCCTCATTTTTCTTTCTCCAGTTCCATTTCTACATCTCTCATATCGTCCTATCACCCGCATCCTTCTTCTAGGCACAATGGCCAGTCGTCGAGAGAACCAAAGGACGGATACATCATGGACAAGCTCCTTGGTCGATGTAATGGAGCAAACCCTCCGGTTAGAAGACAGGCTACATATTCTAGAGTCCGAATCCCCTCAAGCACGCCTCAGGAGGCTTCTTTCAACGAAATCTGTCATATCGACCTCCTCATCGTATGCAGAACGCCAGCAAGCAGCAGTTGGTTGTCGGTCTCCGTTCCGGGAGATCGGTACGGGATCTATAGGCAAGGTTTTTGAACAGGCCGGTACGCTGTGGGCTTTCAAGGTGCTACTCATAGAGCGCAGTGATAAACTATGGAACAATTACATCATGAATCTCCGAATCCAAGATAGCTTTGACCGGATAGACCTCGACACGGGCAGCTTGGAGCTCCCTCGGGCAGCCTGGTTCGCTAGCAAAGATTCTGAGTTCTGGCCCGAGAACCTCCATCTCTTTCCAGATGATCCCACCTTTCCTCGCCGGCCTCGCGAAATTCTGTGCATGGAAAGAATTTTTCCTCTACCTCAGTCCGTCCGGGACGCCTTGATCGACCTCTTCTGCAACCCGAATCATGCTGCCGCAGCCAAGAGCGCTCCTGCAAACAAGGATTGCATAGTACGGGTATTCATTGGCCGCAAGCGCTTTGGGACATCGCTTCCAGGCGGAAGTCGTTTTTTTTCTCTAAGGAATTACAAGCTCCACGTTGATCAGATCTCAGAGCTGCAATTGGACGCAGACGAATATGCAACAAGCATGGCCAATGCCCTTGCAATTCTACATTGGCATACACGGATCGACGCCATGGATGTGGAGTTCGTTCTCGGAAGTACCCCGTTGGATCTCAATTCCGTTCGTCGTGCTCTTCCACTTCAAGACATCGCACGTCTCAGGCCTGGGACCAGTACATTTGAACGTGCTACAAACACAACTCCCAATTTCAAAAAGCGTGTCGTCAGCCTATGGATGCTTGATTTCGATACCTGCGGGCCAATAACGATGAACGCCGCTGGAGTCAATCAGGCCGTGAGGGCATTTATTGAAAACGATCCCTATTATCCTCGACCCTACTCGAATGACCCTTACTCAGAGCGCTTGTGGCAAATATTCTCACAGCGCTACATAGAAAAGGGAAAAAAGGTGATCTCTGCCTCTTTGCAATCACTGCCCCAGCAGTTCATTCATGGTGTTTTGGCCAGGCTGTCTCCGCCAACTCAAACAATACCTCCAAGACCTGCAGCCCCAACCCAAGGACCAGGCGCAACTTCAGGAAGTAGACCACCTGCGCCGTATAATCAACAGCCTCAACAACCACCACGTTCACGGTCTACTCAAAACGCCCCTAGACACCATCAAGGAAGACAGCGGGGTGGTAGGGGCTCGGCACGTGGCTCATCATCGACCTGCCCTGCCACAGCGGGAAACAGGGGCGAGGAAGAAGAAGCCCGACGTCGTCGCCGAGGGCTTGGTCGAGGAACTCGCGGGGGCCGTGGTCAAGGATAACATCAAGTATCAAGAGGATTGGCACAGCGAATGTATCTTAAAAAAAAAGAAAAAGAAAAAAAGAAGAAAGAGGAATAGAGAAGAAAGAGGAATAGAGAAGAAAATGGCGGGTCGAATAAGGTATCTAGGAAGAATCAAACAGGTCGTGGGGTTTATGTGGCGGCATATGGAGCTTCTGTTTGCAAGTTTACTCATTTACCATGTCGTTCAGTTGATGATAATACTTAATTTGGTCGAAAGCTTGATTCTCGACTTCTGCGTCCATTGTAAATTGCGGGAAAGAAGATGTGAAAGATATCATTTATGGAGGTCTTGACATTCAAGTGTCTACGCGAAAAGAAGACGATCCATATGCATTTTGGAAGGCTTCAAAACCACAACAAGATGCGGTGAAATGATATTATAATCCCCACATGAAGAAGCAATGATATCGATCGGTTGAGCGATCGATCCAGCAAGGCAATGAAATACCTGTTTACACCTCAATGTTGTTCCACAGCTCTCGTCATGATCTGGGCCAGGCTAGCCAATTGGCTTGTGCCATTTGAAAATCGCAGAGAAATTAGCAGCGAAGACTACAATACCAGGATCTCCAAGGCCATGTGCATATGTCCCCTATGTTTCTGTTCAAAACTATCTCGAAAGAGCCTGGCTCCTGTCTTAGCGCAAAGTCCGCCCCATAAACGCATTCCCACATGAAAGTGCAGAATTTATCGGTTCCATCGGTTCCGGGTGCGGACAAGAAACCAGACCCTGCTTCAGCGAAGAACTTTTCAAGCCAGCTCCTAATACCCTTGCGTGTGCATGTAGAACGTTGTTCAATCCTAGGAGCGCTCACTTGTGTACCTAATCCCTCGAACATGTATCGGCTACGCACGTGCAAGCTCTGAGTTCTTTGATTCACCCAGATCGTATTGAAAATCTTAACCTTCAGGAATGGATGGTCATTGAAGGCACAGTCGTGAAAGAGGCTGATCAGTCGTCTGTTAAAGCTTGGGTGATACAGAGCATTGCCATAAAAATACTTACGTCCCGGATGTGCGGTTTTCCGAGCCACCTCAATTGTGCCGATCAAGTCCGACTTATCGCTAAACGAGGTCATGGCTGCATAGCACTTGGGTGAATCTGCTCCAAAGACTGAAACGTGAGTGGAGGACCCAACAATGGTTGCAAAATTTCCAGCGTTCATTCTCGAGCCGAAGGAGTAACTGATACCTTCGTCTTTGTTGGTCATTAGGACATATTGAAGGGCGAAGGCTTGGCAAGCGAGATGACTAAGGATCCGGATGGGATTGGATCACTAAAACGATCGGATGAAGCAATTGTCTTAGCTATATTTAAATGAATGAATTGAATGCTTGTCCTTCTCTAACTAAACGATAAAGAAGCCGATATTTATGCAGTCTCAGGGGCTTCAGGATCGCCATAAAACGAGCTGAATTGCATGATCTTATACCATACGATTCATATTAATCGGGTTGCATGATCAGTTTGGCAGGTTACAGGTCAGCCGCCCCTTGGAAAAGGTCGGGTGCCCCCAAGCTGGTCATGTGATGTCCATTTGGCGGCATGTGCCCCTTACCGTATATGTTTTTAATTACAAGGCATCTGGGCTTTTCAATACAGAACAATCTTAATATCTCTCAAAGTACTTAACAACCGGTTAATACTGTTTTCTAGCTACTTATTAAGTAGATTCTGTAACTTTACCCGTCTTTCCATAAGTTCTAGTTCTTTTTCCTCATTTTGAAACTGTTTTGCTCGTAAATTCTCTTCTCTCTCCTTTAGTTGGAACTTGTGACGGTCTACAAAGGAGCTTAGTAAAAGACAAGTTTGTTTATGACTCGTAGTCAAAGAATTTTCCCATAGGGAGGAAAAGGCTATCTAGGAGAGAGAATCCAGGGACTCTATATACTGCCTGGAGCTTGCCTCAGGCAGGAATGCCTGCAGGATCCCTAGGAATGTTCCTGGATGCCTGCCGCAGAGGATCCCTTGATCCTCCGGAACGTTCTCCCGTACAGGAAAGCCCCCTGGCTTCAGGAGGTAACAAAAGGGAAGTTAGCTCGATCCAAGGCCGTGCTACTCTCCTTGTAGAATGAAAAAACACCATTGACAGTCCCGACAAAATTTCAGTTCAGCCTCAATAGAAACAAGCATTGAAAGATATTGAGTTTGAGGAAACTCGTATTCTGGAAAGCATACGGCTGCCTGAACGGGTCCCTGAGCGCTCATACAACGAATATAATTTGGATAGTTTGAGCCAGGTGTGACGGTCTACAAAGGAGCCTAGTAAAAGACTAGTTTGTTTATGACTCGTAGTCAAGGAATTTTCCCATGGAGAGGAAAGGCTATCTAGGAGCGAGAGCCTAAGGCCTCTATATACTAACTGAGGCTCTGCCTCAGGCAGGAATGCCTTCGGGAAGGTTTCTCCGTACTAGGAAGTTCGTATCGGAAGTCCATATCGGGAAGTCCTTGGCTCAGGAGATAACACCAGGGTAACCCTTGAAGAGGGTTCTCTCAACACTTGTTGCTTGAATGAACTCCAAAGCACCACGAAATATTGCTGTGCATAATGTCCGTAGAATCTAATTTGGTTCGGCAAGAACTCGAAGAATCTACTCCATGCTGGATGTTCGATCTGGCGTCGTTCAGATAGTCGAATGCATAATTCATCCAAACTCTCGTATTTCTCAATGAGTAGATCGTCGACAGACATTTGGAAGCTGTCATATACTGCGACAGCCTTGCGAACTTCGAGAGGGAGGAATGGGAACGAAGACTAGACGTATTCTGAAAGCGAACGAACGATACTTTCTTCCTCGGGAAGGAACTTCAGCGTGAAATCGTAAATATTTCAGAAGTCTTCAGGCGCAAGATTGGCTTGGTCATTGTAGCCGAACCTTTCCAGAAGGTTGACCAGTATTCCGCTCAGCTCTTCGGGCGAAATTAAGTCCACAATTGTGCGTGTATTCTTTGTCACATAAACGATAATAAATCTGATTTTATTTGTGTTGTTCCCTTAGGGGAGCCATACAATCTCCGGATTTTATTTCAGTTAGACTCTGGTGAGATATCCATGCGGCCTTTCGGATGATCCGACCTTCCCAGCTTGCCGAAGATCATTTCTTTATTCAGTCACTTCACCAATGAGCTACAATGTCAATCAGATCAGCTTGGTGTTAAGTTTCCCTGGAAGGAGGTACGCCAGAAATGTCAAATATCCACCCTGCTAATATGCAATTGTTTCCTCATCGGGACAAGACCGCATAATGGAAATGCGGTGCGTAACACTCATACTCTTCAAATGGGTGCTTCGCTACTGAGCCTGCATACTACAGACCACGCATATGACAGTCTGACCGACGTGCTGCTATTTAGGTCCGTTCTAGCAGGACTCTCCATGCTATTCCCATGGTTACTTGCACTCTACTTCACAGGTATGTGTTGGGGAACACCAAGGTTTTGATTAACTGGCCAATCGGGAATCAATCTTTCATATGATAATAGGAGCGAGATGATCAGTCTGCTTAATGATGTTCGTGTAGGTTCAGTGCTGCAAACACTTTTTTTTGGGCGAATTCAAGCCTTTAATTCAGCACGGCTTCTGCCACTGACGGGCAGAGGAGTCTCTCAACAAAAAGTCCTTGTCCACCGATGTTCTTCCAAGATGTTGAAAGAGCAAAACTCTGTTGATTGATACTTCTAGAGTAGTTCTTTCTTTCAACCTAATGTTGAAGGTGACATCCAGAGTAGAATCCGCCGCGTAACTCTGCGCGGCCACTCACACGGCATCACAGAAGCTCTTAATGTTGCCATTAATAATTTGGAGGCTTTTTATGCCAGCTCAGTTGCTGGAGAATATATTTTACTAACTTTGCGCTCTCATACAAGAATATGTTCCTGTCCTTATGAGAATTGTTTTCGTTGCTTCCAAGAGCTTGTGCATATTTGAGCATTCTCAAGGAAAACCTGGGAAACATGGCATCCTTCAGTCTTTGGCTCGGTCTATTCCTTCTCACATTCTCAATTCTTACAAGGAGTACTTACCGTCTAAGTGAAGCGATGCCTCGTCGATTGTAACATACTGATGTTTTCTTTCTTTTGAGCTACTGCGACTGTTTTGGTCCTGCTGGAGTTTGTAGAAGCGAAGACCATCGAACTCGTTCGGCTCCGTGAAGAACTCCGGGTCCCTAGCGATGTGATAGGAGGGAGCAGCAAGATGTGCCCCAGCAGGAAGGTTAGTACCGTCTGAGAGAACTAAAGATTCAAGAACCTTTCGCTCGAAGGAGACTATAAGTTATTCAATTAACCTAATTTGTTTGGCCCAAAAATACCACCGCCAGCAGCACTTACCCATAATAAGAGGACTCAACCTCTGTGACTCCTTCATAAAACTGTCCAATTTTGGTATTTTGGAGAAGGACTCTTTGTTCAGAGTACCGTTAGATGCCTTCAGAACGGACTGAAACTCTTCTCTGAGCATTGGAAGATACTCAGGTCGGGAGGCAAGATCAAAAATGCACTGTGCGACTCCGAAAGCAACCGTGAAGATAGTGGGTACTGTGGCCAGAATCTGAAGACGGCTTTGGTACTCATCAGTCCTCAGGTGTTCGTTTGAGTTGTCCCAAGTCCATTGTAATAGAGTGTTGGGTTTCTCTTTCTCATAATCATGTCCTCTGCGTCTTGCCGCGAACTCTTTCGCGAGGAGTTGCTGCACCTTATTGTGAATCTGATGGATCTGACGTAACTGAGGCAGCCAATATGCGATAATCGGACGCAGAAAATGCGGCCATTTGGATAACTTTAATCTCACAGGTGATGAATACGAGCTCGTCCGCGCATTTGATTTCAGCATGGGCATCATTCTCGGTCTTACAAACGACTACTTTAGCTGGACTGTTGAAAAGAACCAAGAAACTGATCGCGCAAGAAATGCGGTTCGGGTTCTCATGAAAGCGCACGCAGTGGATGATACTTTAGCTCAGAGTCTTCTCCGAGGCTTGATCGTGGATGAGGAGGAAAAAACCTATCAGTTGAAGCAAAAGGCACTGATTGCGCAGCCACCACCTTCTCTGGCAGTGCAACATTACATCGAGGCTATTGAGCTAAAGCGGTGTTGGACATAAATTCGGTCGAATCCCGACAGGTCATCCGGGCATTGAAAGTAGGTTGCTCAGCGGCCCTCGGGTCCACGAGCCCCCAGATATCATCAACTCAGGAAGTGCATCTTTCCGGGCGGCGTAAGGCATCTTGATTTGATATAAACCTCGGATCAAAAGTTCCAAGAAGGCGAGTTGCACGGAAGAACGATTTGGCAATCAACTAGTCTCTGTGTATACAGGAGCAGGTCAAAAACACCTGATTTTTGTAAGAGTTGCCTTTCCTTTTCTCTTCCATGGCTCTCTTATCTATAACTCGTTTCTTCCTTCGCATGACAGGTTACTAGAACCACCTACGTTAGAAAGTCGAGGCCATACATAATATACATCATGCAAGGGTTCGTCGGCTTGTTGAAAAGCGACTGTCAAATAGCGCACTCCATCACACCGAGTATACCAGGGCCTATGGGCTAATAATGATATGACGTGACTGTACCCATACACTCTCTGTAGATCAAAACTGTATATTTGGGTACTATATCTCCGATGAACCTAAAATCTAAGTATTGCTGAGTATACAAAGGTCTATGAATTGTTCATAATAGGGCGCAACTGTATTTAAGACTCTTTTTATGTAGATCAAACTGTATATCTGAGCACTAAATCCCTGGTGAACTTCTGATAAACCTAGAATCTAAGTCTCACTGAGTGCATATCGGCCTAAAAGTTGATAATAGTATGACGTGCTTGTATCTAATACTCTGTTTCCAAACCAAAGCCAAAACTAAATATCTGAGCACTACATGCCCAATACACCTCAAATCTAAGTATTTTTGACTAATAACTATAGATCTGCAACCCCCCTAATCAGTCCAAAAGACTACAGTTATAATGCACTAACAACCGGACTCGGTATAGCTTCGCAGAACAACAAACGATATATGTCTTACATATCCAGGCTCAAAACTCAATCTCAAAATGTCACATTCCAAAGAAACTCAATCCTCAAATCTGCGGATCGGAGTACGGAGGTCTAGAACATAGCCCTAGCAAAGTGGGGTAAATTATTACATGACTGACTCACGAAAGTCCGGAATAAGTATAGTACAACAGCATGATATACGTGCGCAACACCCCTGCTTACACCAAAACGTCATATCTAACTATTGCATTCCTCCGGCGTTCACTGAATTAAAGACGCTTGCTCTGGACACGCCTCCCTTGCTTTTAGCGGCTTTTAAAGGACAGGTTGATGTGCCGTGTCAGTAAGCTTTTCTTATCGCTCTAAAATTATTCTGTACTGTTGGGAAGTTCTGTTATGCGGGATAGGATCTGTCAATGCAAGGGGAACGATTTGATCGGAGTTGCCCGGATTGCGAAGAATGATTGGAACCTCTGCAGATCACCTCGGCGAATTCAGTCTGTTTTAAGTTTTCATTATCTTTCTAGTTTATCTGCTGTGTGTTTATTTTTCAGAAATACAAAGCAATGCGAGCTAAAACAAGATATTATACAGCTGATAATCAGACACTAAGCCCGCACGATATCATCTATCCCTTTTATTACCAACCACTTGATCCTCTCCCCTCAACATTGTCATGTTCCCTACCCCTCGCTTCATACTCCACAACCACATTGTGTGTCCTCCGAATTACGCCCAGTGGATGTGCACCGAGAAGTAGTGGAACTCACCGATTGAGTCTGCCGGGCTGAAGGTTACCAAAATTTGGACTGCGCGAAGAGGAGTGGAGAGTGTGATTGAATGTGAATTACCTTGATGAATCTGAGTATTAGGAATGTACATAGTTGCTACCGCCAATTGCACAAGAGTAATTCAAAAACAAATCACCAGTTATTAATCCAAATTATGAAACTGATGGGTTGAATGACAGTGGCATGACGGGAAGGCTACATATGGGGTAGGAAGAGAGAAGGCAAGCTTATACGGCTACAGAAGGTATGAAGTCAAATTTTCTACGGGTTGGATTAATAATAGATACCCGCAATATCGGAGAAAACGAGCGAAAATTAAAACTATTAGCGATTAACCGAATAGAATCCCAAAGCACAACTATCCAGGGACACTCCAAGCCGACCAGGCCAATCATATTCCAGAATCATCTTCCTCCGCCGTACATACATCTTGATAGTCATTCCAAGCGTCACAGGTCTCTTTCAAGCTGTCATAATCAATGAGCTTCTGAGCCTCATCATACCTCTCAATAAACTGAATCGCAAACCCTTCCGCGGTATGCCAGCCAATATGACAATGCATTAACCAAGCTCCGGGGTTATCCGTTTGGAACCCGACCACCAGATGCCCACTCGCAGGAAGCATCGCGGTATCACGTCGAGGCGGGTTACTAGTCGTAATGCTACCATCATACGTGCCACTGCCTTGTGCCAGGACGACAAAGTCATGTCCATGAAGATGGATCGGATGAGGAACAGAAAGCGTCGTCTCGATCACAATATACACCCACTCATCTTTGCGCGGCAGCTGGACCACACCACTGGAGTTGGCAAATGTGTGGTGTCCGCGGTAGATCTCCTGGAGAGTCGGATTGGCCCAGTCAACATGCATAGACGTGCTGTTGAGCTTCCAGCGGTACAGGCTTTGCGAATTCTTGCCTAGAGACACTGGCTCGGATTTATTGTAGAACGGAGCCGTGTCTATGGTGTAGGGGTTCACGATAGGGACAAGGGATGACATGTCTTCGTCGTCACAACTGTCGGAATATAAATATGCGGATGTTGTGGGCGTGGAAGGAGAGTCTCCGTAGTAAACAACCCCCTTGATATTCTTTGGGTTCAAGTTCTCCGAGCAGGCCTCTTGCGGGATGGCACGCATCCAGAAGTTCTTGGCGATGGAGGATTTGTCGGCGTGGACGATGACGTCGTATCGTTGACCTGGTGTGTGTTAATGAATTGGTCTATGATGTTGAAGTGAGAACAGGGAATCAGAGGAGATATAACATACCCATTGCGATGTTAAGTACGGTTTTGTTGTACGGCTCAATAGGAACCAGATCGTTGGAGATGACGGTCAACGTGTGATTGTCGATCATGAACTTGAAATGCGTATCGCAAGCCGCATTGATCAATCGAAGACGGTAGGAACTTCCCTCTGTGACGGAGGTATTGAATCGATAGCCCGTTTGGTTGGTATTACCATCATACCCGAATAAGTTCGTTCCATTGATCAACGCCGTGTCCAGGGTCGGTGGCCCATCCGTCTGGGCCGAGATATAAAGCTCATCAACGGTGTTGATGTCCCAATCATTGAGCACCAAAACCCCTTTATCCTCATCATAGTTAGAACTAGCCGGTCCATTGATAACAATGCCTCCGAAGAGTCCCTCCCAGGCCTGGAGGCCAATGTGCGAATGATACCAGGTGGTGCCATATTGCATTGCCCTCCACCGATATGTGATTGTACTGTTGGGAGCAGTGGGACATTGGGTGATAGACACCACTCCGTCATTTTGGTTGGTGTGATACTGTCTAATGCCGTGGAAATGGACGCTGGTACCATTTTTCACCGTGTCTGGAAGGCTGTTGGTGACATGAACGACAACCGTGTCGCCCCAGTCGGCGTAGATAGTTGGGCCGGGTATTGAGCCGTTGATGGCAAGGGCAAATCGAGAGCGTCCGTCAGGAGCGACATTGACATGCTGTAGGTCAAACCAGTACTCCCGGGTCACGCCAGTCTCGGGAACGGTGGTTGTATAGTCCGTGTTGATGTCGTAGTCACACCATTCCTGTCGATTGGTCGCGGTGTTGCCTGCACACGCGCCGGAGGAGGCAGAGGTAGAAGCGGATGGAAACAGCGAAGCGGAAGAGACGCTAGGCGAGGAAAGGGAAAATGAGTGTATGGGCACGTCGGATGCGGCCCTTGCCCCTAGGGCAAATATAAAAGAGAGCAATGAAATTTTCATGCTGTAGTTGTTCCTTTAAGGACAGCCAAGCACGGATGGTCTATAATGAATGACACTGAGTGAGAAAATGAACGAAAGTTTACTGGATGGATTACTATCTACACACTGGCATCTACATCTCTTAAAGGTTCTTTCTTCTCGCTGTGACTTAGTATGCTTACCTGCTTTTCCCATAGAACCCAAATCTCCAACTCTAAGACACCACCCCTCAACCAAGCCCACGGCTGTCAATCAACCCATGTCCTCCAAGTATAGCTGAGCTGAGTGATTTAGGTATCCTGGACTGATGACGCCGACTCGATGCAGGACGCGTCGCAGGCTGATGAAGAGATTTTGGCGGATTAACCAGATCCGTCGATTCGGGCTGGATAGGCTTGATTTTAGTGTCTATTTGAAGAACAGACGGCAACGGGATCTCCGGTATCTTCTCCGCAGTGCCTATTTAGTGTAAACTTAAGTCCTCGTTTTTCATGTATTCGTGGTTCGGAGCAGTCTTCGGGGCTGACGACGCGCTAGCTCCTCCCTAAGACTCGATCTAAAGACACACTATATATTTAGTGCATATCTAATTCGAGCCTATTCCCCAACTGAAGACCTAATCAGTAATCAATCAGCCACACTACGGAGTACGAAGCGTTGCACCGAAGGATTCGGACCTGTCAACTGACACCTCTGTGTTTGGACTAAATTGATTAAACTGCAGAGTTGCTGCGAGATAAGCCCGGTGGAGGCGTGGGCGACACGCAAGGCCAAGCAAGATTCCGGCCGTCGGTCGGGCTCCACCGCAGACTCCACCCGTCCTGTTCCTGGCGGAAGGCTGAACAATAAACATCGCGATCTGCGCCGAAATCTCCCCACACACGAGTGGCATACGTACGCCTTGTGGGGACCGACTTCAAGGCAAACCGGTGGATAGTGTTAATGTCTGTGCGTGGACACTGCCTTGTCTATTTACGAAAACTATTGTGGTATGGGCTTGTTTCGAGTAAGTATGGTGGCGTGACAAGGTTGCTACTATGATCGGGATATCCGTGATATATATTTGTAGATTTGCAATATCAGTTCCACCATTTCGCGTTCTAAGTCCTTTACAAAAGACAATTAACTTGCAATAACTGAACCAGGCGATTGATGGTTTTATCTTGCCAGCAAAATGCTTCACTCCACCTTTGGCGTCATTTCTCTTTGCCTGACCAACTCGGTCCTGGCGGCGTCGGCTTCGTTCGGACTCTACGCCTACGGAGAGAATATCGGCGGACTGCAGATGTACTATGCTGACGGCGAGTAAACGATTTCTAAATCACAAGAACCCTGTTCTTATTGACGAAATCCATCTAGGAAACGCCGTCGTGAGCAAGCAAGCCCCTTCCAATGAAACCACCGCCACGCCCGTTATCTGTAAGTATCCACCCTAAGTCTGTCTCGACCTACAACTAATCGCTGATTTAGTTACTCACGACGACGACATGGGACTGATCGGAAACCCGAATACCACTGACACCGCCAATAAGCCCGATTTCTCGAATGCCTCACTCTTCATTCCCGGCTCGTCCGCCACCTCCAAACAGGTCGGGTTCACCGACGACCCGTCCACGAACGAGGTCACCAATAAGTTCGTCTGGTACGGTAACTTCTTGATGGTGGAGGATGATTCCGGCGACTATACGTCGTTGTTCAGAGTGAAGAATGCGTCCTCGTCGACCAATGACGGCGAATATTCCCTGCTGTGGAACGTTACCGACTCTGATGAGGAAGTTATTGAGATTTCTATGAGATCTATTGCGCCGTCGAACGATTATTAAATTGGTAGATTGCAAGCAAGCCAAATGAGTGTTACAATGCCAGGTTCTCAAGGAGGTGATGTGATCTATATTGTGAAAGTGGGTGTTGGTATTAGCCCAGAGGGTGGTTGGAGACGACAATGGAGATAGGTTGTCGTCTTCATGCAAGATGCTATCTCAGTGAGAAATATACAAATATGAAATGAGGTCTCGTGAAACATGACTTCGATACAAAGGTCCAGACCTTGGCGGACTGTCAAAAGTGGCCGCAACTCTTCAGCGTAACATTAAAGCCTCAACAATTTAGCCAAAGAAATCTTTGTGGTGACTTCTGAGGGGATGGCAAATCATGGTCTTCGTCCGTGCTTTGATGTGATCGTGAGAGCGGGATGGGATAATGGTCGTCGTTTGTGTTAAAGATTTGCATAAGACTGAAAAACAGAGACCAGGAGACGTCAGAACGATGGGGAACATATAGTGAAGCTTGGTCTAGGTAGGTACCCGAGATTTGAGTTGCAACAGAAGAGAAAAGCCATATCTTGTACCTCCAAGGACCAGACGCCAGGTTACACTGCAGTCCAACTTTCACGGAGCCTTATTGGGAGACGTGTCTCGATTGGACGAGATCATAGGGACTATTCCCTGTACCCTGATCGAGATCACGTATGGGCGGCTATTACCCACCTATTGCCTGCGTGTACGTCAAGTGAAAATGTACCGCACAAGTCACAGTCGTTCAAGATGACTTACTGAAAGAACCAAGAGCGAATGTTGATACCGGCCGGCTAAAATATATAGCAGACCGTAGAGACAAGTAAGACACCCGTGCTGCGATTTTGATCGGTTTCCCTCCTTGCTTTTGTTCTCTGGTGCAAGATTCCGGATCTCTGCTCGAAAGTGACTTTCGCTAATTGAAGAATCCACCGATCCCATGCGAAATATGGAACAAACGTTTGTCAAAGTAAATTTCCCCGAGGTCGAAACGTTGGCTACGATTCCATCCAGCTCAGACGAGCCTCTCAGCCAAGGACAGGATGAGTGCAGTGCCAATGATCTCAATGACACCCACAAACCCGACCCTGTCCCCTTCCCCATTGCCATCGTGGGCATGGGAATGCGGCTCCCAGGTGGAGTGAGATGCGCTGAGGAATTCTGGGAATTCATTATCAATAAGCGTGACGGTCTTTGCGAGGTGCCGGGCTCAAGGTATAACGTGGAGGCGTTCTACGACGAGTCACGCCCAGGGGCAATCCGCACTAAGCATGGACACTTCATCCACGAGGACATCGCTCAACTGGACAATGTATTCTTCGGTATAGGCAAACCTGAAGCAGAGAAGCTCGACCCACAGCAAAGACTCCTGCTGGAAGTTGTCTGGGAGTGTATGGAAAACGGTGGACAGATCGACTGGCAGGGTAGTAACATTGGCTGCTACGTAGGTGTTTTTGGAGAGGACTGGCTGGATCTCCTGAGCAAAGACACTCTCCAGCACGACAGATATCGCGTCATGAGTGCCGGCGACTTTGCTCTATCCAATCGTGTCTCTTACGTGTACGATCTGCGAGGACCAAGTGTCACTCTTCGAACAGGTTGCTCTTCGTCCATGGTCGGATTGAATGATGCATGTCAAGCCCTGTATGCCGGTGACTGCTCCTCTGCCCTCGTCGCGGGCACGAACCTCATCATGGGCCCGACCATGACTACCACGATGTCCGAAAATTTGGTTGTCTCCACCAGCGGAATATGCAAGACCTTTGACGCAGCAGCAGATGGATACGGCCGAGGAGAGGCCATCAACGTGATTTACATCAAACCACTCCACGACGCGCTTCAGCAAGGGGATCCAATCCGCGCGATTATTCGGTCAACCGCAGTGAATTGTGACGGCAGAACCCCGAGTATCACGACACCGGGGGCCGAAGCCCAGGAGCAACTGATCCGACACGCATATCAGAAGGCGAGGATCGACGGGGACGAAGTATGCAAAACGGCCTTCTTCGAGTGTCACGGCACGGGGACGCTGGTCGGCGACACGGCAGAAACGTCGGTCGTCGCCAACATTTTCGGGCGCCAAGGCATCTACATAGGGGCGGTGAGCACATGCGGCCTAGCGTGGGGGTTCTGCCTGCTAACCCCGAACAGGTTAAGCCCAATGTCGGCCACTCGGAGGGTGCCTCAGGCATCACAAGCATCATCAAATGCGTCTTGGCCCTCGAGCAGAACCTCATCCCTCCCAACGTCCACTTCCACACCCCGAATCCCAAAAGTTCGTATTTTCCATCTCGGATCCTTCACTCTTACTGGTCGGATGGTTTTCGTTGAAATACTGATGGTTTTTAGTCCCCTTTGACAGTGCTAAGCTCCGCGTCCCGGTGGAGCCCACTCAGTGGCCTGCCGACCGACACAAGCGAGTCAGCGTAAACTCGTTTGGTATCGGAGGCACAAATGCTCATGTGGGTACTCTTGCTATCAGTTCTTTGCCTCGATTGGCTCACTTGGCCTTTCGTCGGTCGCTAATCTTGGAAGGTTATTCTCGATTGCGCCTCCCTTCCGTCTCCTTTCGAACCAATAATAGCTAGACCGCGTCTTCGACCGAATAACGATGCCCACTTGCTCGTTGTCTCCGCCAAAAGCAAGAGCTCACTAGACAGGCGTGTTGATACAGTTGCCCAATATGTGAAAGACAGAATCCCATCTGTCGAGGACCTTTCGTATACCCTTGCGCGAAGACGCGTTCATTTGCCTAATCGTGCATTCGCGTTAGTCACCAAAAATGGGCTACTTTCAGCATTCGAAAAGCCAATGTCCGTTGGGCCACGGGTGGTTTTCGTGTTCACTGGACAAGGAGCGCAGTGGCCCAGGATGGGAAGAGACCTGATGGTCCAATTTGCAACATTTCGGGATGATATCCAAAACTTGGACCGTGTATTGCGGACATTGGAAGCCGCGCCCTCATGGACAATTGAAGGTGTGTTTTCGTCTAAGAATTGGTTTCTCGCGATCTCTCTGACCCGGATCACCAGAGGAACTGTCGAGGGACAATGAAGCCAGCCGGATAGGAGACGCTGAATACGCGCAACCTCTCACCACGGCTATCCAAATCGCCCTGGTAAACTTGTTGCGAGAATGGGGTGTGTGTCCTACGTCAGTAGTAGGACACTCCAGTGGCGAGATCGCTGCTGCCTATGCTTCTGGAGCGATCTCAGCTAGTCTTGCCATTATCCTCTCCTATTTCCGTGGCCAAGCAATAAAGGCTGTACCACCGAGATCTGGCGCTATGGCTGCCGTTGGAATGTCGACCGAGCTGGCGAAGACATATCTGCGACAAGGGATTACCGTGGCATGTGAGAATAGTCCCCAGAGCGTGACTTTGTCTGGGGATAAGAATGCCTTGGATACCGTGCTCGCACAGATCCACACGGACGACAAGGATATATTCACTAGGCGGTTGGCTGTCGATGTTGCATACCACTCTCACCACATGACTGAGCCAGCACAAGTCTACAAAACATGCATACTACCGTTCATGTCGCATAATGAATATATGGTACCACTATACTCAACGGTGACAACGAGAGCAATCTGCGACCCGTCGGAGTTGGATGCTGGATATTGGTGCCAGAACTTGCAGTCCACGGTCTTATTTGGCCCCGCCATCCAGCATATGATCAGAGACAACTCTACCAGCCTATTATTCCTGGAGATTGGTCCCCACTCTGCACTTGCAGGACCAATACGACAAACGATTCAATCCGAGCAGACCATTGAAAGGATCCCACCTTACGTCCCTACCTTGCGTAGAGGCCACGCCCAGTGGGAAAGCTTGCTCGAAACAGCGGGGCGTCTATTTTGCCACGGGGCGCCGATCAATCTTTCTGCTGTGGTTGCTGATGGCAAGGTGCTCACCGATCTACCACTTTACCCATGGCAACATGATGGTAGATTGTGGAGTGAATCTCGATTATCTCATGACTGGAGATTCCGGGAAGCGCCTTACCACGAGCTTCTCGGATGCCGGTGCTTGGAATCAACCAACGTGGAGCCATCATGGAGGAACCTTTTACAGCTCGACCAAGTACCGTGGCTTACAGACCACAGGGTTTGCAAGGAGGTTGTTTTCCCCTGCGCCGGATACGTTGCAATGGTTGGAGAGGCAATACGTCAAATAACTGGGACAACTGATTTCACGGTCAAGAACCTGTTCATGAAAACAACCTTGACAATTGCACCTTCTGAAACTACAGAGGTTGTAACTAGTCTTCGGACAGAAAAGTTGACTGATAATGTTGATTCGAGCTGGTTCGAGTTCACCATCTCCGCATTCCAGAAGGAAGTCTGGAAGAAATACTGTGTCGGACAAGTCAGGCCTGGCCCGACCGAAGAGCACCCAACTCCTCATATCCCAACCTACTGCCGGTCCGTCTCCCGAGATAGTTGGTACAGTGCGCTAGAAGGCCGTGGCCTTGATTACGGCCCTCATTTCCGAGGGTTAGACTCTATCTTGGCTTCTTCAACCGAACCAAAAGCTACTGCCACCATACGTGATCAAAACTTGTTTCATGCACACAAATATGCACTGCATCCCATAATTATCGACCAAAGTCTCCAGCTCCTCAGTGTCGCCGCAACAAACGGTATGCCTCGTCGGTTAACGCGGCTATGTATCCCCATGGCTATTGAGGAGATGTATATCGGATTCGGAACAGGCTCAATGACCCTGGAAATGTCATGTCAGGAAGCTGGGGGAGGCCTTTGCGGCAACGGGGTTGTTGTAGCCGGGAACAAAGTGGTCCTTTCTCTGCATGAGGGGCATTTCTTCAATATACAAGATCCAGATGTCGGTCGACCGTTGTTCCCAGAAGCCTCTGTCGCTCGCTGGATGCCTCACATTGACTTTGTTCCTCACGAGAAGCAGCTCCCACCACTATCCGTCAACCTCTCACTTGGTGAAGGAGTTGCCCGATTGACACTATTGGCTATTCTGGAGACGTATTACCAGTCGCAACCTTTGGTGGCAGAGGTGCCGCATCTCAAGAAATGGCACTCGTGGATCAAGTCGGAGTATGAGCGTATATGCCGTGGTGGACAAACCTGGCTCGCGGACGTCAAAGATGCTCTATCCCTCAGTCATCACGAGCGTAAAGAGGCTCTCAAAAACTATAAATGCTACTCGAACACCGAGATCGAGATGGCAATCTATGAATTATCCAAGAGCATTATTGGGTCCTTACCAGAAATGATGAAGGGTACTGTGGAACCCATTGACCTTCTCATGGAAGACGGCAAATTGAGGTCTTTTTATCAATATGCCTCGAGAATGAATCCATGGAACAAATATCTGACATTGCTTGGGCATTCAAATCCCCTACTCAGGGTTCTAGAAGTCGGCGGTGGCACCGGGGGCGACACTTTGATGGCTCTGGAAGGAATGACCTTAGGGAACGGCAACCGGCTTTATGCCAAGTATACCTTCACCGACATCTCACCAGCATTTCTACCGCACGCTAAAGAACGATTCAAATCGTACCCTGACATTGAATATGCGATCTTGGATATCAGTCAGGACCCTGCTGAACAGGGCTTCGAACCGGGAAGCTACGACTTGATCATCGCATCGAATGTCCTTCACGCCACGCCTAGCATTTCAAAGTCGCTGACTCATGTCAGGAAGCTTCTTGCACCTGGTGGTCGCCTGGTGCTCATTGAGCTGACCCCCGAGACACCGCTCATGGATTATATTATGGGCACCCTTCCCGGGTGGTGGCTTGGTGAGGCAGATGGACGTCTCGGTAAACCTTACATTACGCGTGAAGAATGGCATGAGAAATTGCTGGATGCCAGTTTCACTGGTGTTGATGCTGCCCTGACCGACAACCAAGCACCCTACCAGTTGAAGTCGCATATCATCTCTCAGGCTGTCCCTATTCAATGCTCACCAAAAGTCACTGTCTGCATGTATTACCGCGGACCTATCACGGAATGGGCTTTGAACCTTGAAAGCCAACTATCACGGGCTGGGCATACAGTCAACTGGCACAGCTTGCAAAACCCACCTCCGTTGGGATCGAATGTCATAGTCCTGGTTGATCTCGAAGGACCCTTCTTGAATGACATTACGGAAGATGATTTTAGGTGCTTGCAACTGTTTATCTCCAACATGAACAGTGGTCGTATCCTTTGGGTCACACGACCGATTCAAATGCACTGCGAGGACCCTCGATTTGCGTTGACATTGGGAGTGGTACGAACAAGTCGACACGAGGTAACCCGTGATTTCGCTACACTAGAGCTTGACAAGGTCGATGAAGCCGCGGTGGAGTCAGTTGTTCAGGTCTTTGAAAAAGTGATCTTACAAACAGACAAACCCACAGTCCAGCGAGACTTCGAGTTCGCTCTCCAAGACGGATTGGTTCATGTTAATCGATTCCAGTGGAGCTCTCTTGACGACCAGCTCATTGAGACCTCTCAAGTAGATGGCCCAAGAAAGCTAGACATTGGTTCATACGCTATCCTGGATTCCTTGACATGGTCTTGCACGGGCTTCACATCATCCCCGCTTGGTGCAAAAGATGTTGAAATAGACATCAAGTACTTTGCGCTTAATTTTAGGGTGAGCAACCCAATCCCCGCAGCACTATCAATAGACACTCTTACTAACAATGTGACAGGATATGATGACTGCGATGGGCTTCATTGGTAACAAAGACAACATTGGCTTAGAAGCCAGTGGAGTTGTTCGTCGCGTTGGATATGGTGTGACGGCTGTTTCAGTCGGCGACAGGGTGATGGTGATAGACAGGGGACTTGCCTGTAGCCGGAAGACCATTCGTGAGGATCAATGTCTTCCTATTCCAGACGACCTTTCTCTAGAGGATGCTGCGGCAGTCACGTGTGTTTATGCGACCGTGATATATTCCCTCATTCATATGGGGAACCTCGAAGAGGGTCAGTCAATTTTGATTCATTCGGCTTGTGGTGGCGTGGGCTTGGCAGCCATTCAGCTGTGTCAAATGATAGGGGCCGAGATTTATGCAACAGTTGGAAGCGAAGAGAAGGTCCGATACCTCACCGAGACGATGGGGATTCCTGCAGAGCACATATTCAATTCTCGAAACTCATCATTCTTACCTGCGCTGTTAAAGAAGACCAGCGGAAGGGGAGTCGACCTTGTGTTGAACTCGCTCTCGGGCGAATTACTTCACGCGTCTTGGAAATGCGTTGCCCGATCTGGAAAGATGCTGGAGCTAGGGAAGCGAGACTTTCTGGGCCATGGTAAACTGGACATGGATCTATTCTCTGAAAACCGATCGTTTATCGGAGTTGATCTTCTCCAGGTTCTGGACGACGACCCGTCATTACTGCATCAGATGGCACAAGAAATGATGGCCTACCTAATCTCTGGCAGAATACAGCCCATACGACCCATACATACATACGAGGCCGTGAATGTGAAGAAAGCTTTTAGATACATGCAAGGCGGGCAGAATATGGGGAAGATTGTCATACGCATGCCTGACAACCCATCGCTTCTTCCTGTTTCGCAACTGCACGAGGCGACACCGTATTTTACGGACTCATCCTCCTACCTACTCGTTGGGGGACTAGGGGGGCTTGGAAGGGCAGTAGCAATGTGGATGGTGGAGAAGGGGGCCCGGCATCTCATCTTCCTGTCTCGCTCCGACACGAGCTCGCCCAAGCGACAGGACTTCGTGCAGGACCTCATATCTCAAGGTTGCTGCGTAACAGCCGTCAAAGGAGACGTGGCGAACCTGGGAGATGTCCAGCGGGCCATCGATGCAGCGCGTAAGCCAATTGCGGGTATTGTTCAGATGTCTATGGTACTGAAGGTTTGTTACTTCGAGACTGTCATTAACCTATTCATACGCCTCTATCGCTGACACAATTTATAGGACCAAAGTCTAGCCAAGATGTCATATGGAGAGTGGAAAGCTGCCTTAAGCCCCAAGGTTCAAGGGACATGGAATCTTCATCACGCGTTCAAACATATGCCTCTTGATTTCTTTGTCCTGATGGGCTCCGTAGCTGGAATCTGTGGTTGGAGCGGTCAAGCAAATTATGGAGCAGCTAACACCTTCCTCGATGCCTTTGCTCAATACCGCCGCTCCCAGGGCCTCGTCGCCAGTGTCATTGACCTAGGTCTGATGGAGGACATTGGATATGTCTCGGAGTTCTCGCTATTAGATACCCTAGCCAGAGCACGCTCGAGCTCTATTCTGATGTTAGGGGAAGCCCACTTGCTGAAGGCAATGGAGAGAACGATACTTTCTTCAAAGTTCGAGTCAGAAAGTCAGCTTATAATTGGCCTCGGCTCCACTAACGTCATGTCGGACGATGATCTCGCTGTCATGTGGACTCAGGAGGCTCGGTGCAGTGCATGGAACAACATTTTATCCAACGTGAACCAAACCTCGGTTATCTCCAAAGCCGATGAATTGAGGGAGTATATGAAGGCGATTCAGAAAGCACCTGAACTCCTTGACAAGCCGGCGACCGAGCAAAGACTTACCGAGGAATTGGGAAAGCTGATAGCGTCTTATACCTCCTGTCCTGACGAAATGACGCGCGATGAGCTAGCCAACATCGCCATTGACTCATTGATGACATTTGAAATCCGGACTTGGTTCCGTCGCCATGCTGCGATTGAGTTAACCTTGCTAGACGTTTCCAACGCCGGAACTGCCCGCGAGCTCAGTAAAGTTGCGCTTCGCAAATTGCGCGATCTCCTGAGCCAAGGAAAATCGGGAGAAGTGCGGAGCTTAGAGAGCTTTGAGAATGTCAATGACAATTATGAAAAAGACATGGAGCTCGGGACCGAACTTCGACCGCTACCTGGCCAAGCGCCGGATTGGACGTCCGACTCAGAAGGTCGTGTCTTTTTGACTGGCGCCACTGGGTTCCTTGGTGCATTTCTATTGGAACAGTTTGTCTGTCTTCCCCAGGTGAAGTCCATTGCCTGCTTGGTCCGAGCTAGCAATGCTGCTGCCGGCATGGAGCGATTGAGCGACGCGTGCAGGAAGTTCGGCATTACGATCAATTTCCGCGCCAAAGTGTTTGTTGTCCCGGGTGACATAACGAAAGACCACCTAGGACTCGCGCGACAGAGGTACGACCAGCTAGCCAAGTGGGCGAGTGTTGTATTCCATTTTGGAGCCTATGCCAATTACACGCTACCATATTCGGTCCACCGAAGCTCCAATGTGCTCGGAACCTTGGAAATTCTTCGATTCGCCAATAGTGGCCGTCTCAAAGCAGTACATCATTGTTCCAGTATCTCGGCCTGCGGTATCCCCGAAGCTCTCAGCGGTGAGACACCCGAGGACCAGAGGCCTCTTCTTGAATCCCAGAAGATCTCGCAGACCCTCGGTTACTCTCAGAGCAAGTTTGTTTCGGAGAACATTGCTTGGAACGCGATGGAAAGAGGCTTCCCGATCGCAATCTATCGCCCCGGTATAGTGACAGGCCACAGCGTCACCGGCGTATGCAAGAAGGAAGATGTGTTCAATCGTCTTTTGTCACATTGTATCCGACTGGGCTGTTACCCGCGCCCACCCGACCAGCTCGCCCAATTTGTCCCCGTAGACTTTGTCTGCCCCGCAATTGCGCAAATATCGCTCCGGAGTGATAGCGTCGGTCATGCCTTCAACGTCGTCCTACCGGGTGAGGGACAAAAGATTACCTTGAAGGGCATATTCGATCTCCTCAGTCAGATCTGCCCATCGCCTTTGCAAAGCATGTCATTCCCTGAATGGGCAGAGCTGTACATGAAAGGCGGAGATACTAATATCAAGGTAGTTGCGCCTGTGCTTTCTGACAGGCTGGCAGGCTATAGACTCTGGTGGGACGAAATGGATCATATCTCGCCCTTCAGCACGGTGAATCTGCATCATGCCTTGTCAGATCACCCTGAAATTCTCCAGTTGAAGTCCATGCGAGAACTGCTCAAAACTTACTATGAGTATTGGATGCATGAAGAGAAGGATGAGGCATAGGATTCGAGAGCATGGAAACTGCGCCCTTCGAGCAAGTCCAAGGGCGCGCAGACCAGCTAACACCCCGAAGTTTTGTATCACATTTTTAGAATTGCCCAGAAAAATATAGTAATTCTTCGGCTCGGCTGGCTATGAGAATTCAGTATACACCGTAACTGCCGCGTAAGATCGTATTGATCGCAGTTGCCCAATTGTGAGGTTGTGATCGGTGTGACTCAAAGCGTTGGCTGCCTGGACGTCCACATTGGCTCCTTTCCCGACACTGAATCATGACGCCCGAATGCGGCAACGCATGGAGAAAGTCAACGGATCCACCTCCAGTAGAAGGTTCTAGCTCATTGAAGAGGCAATGAGACTGGAAGGATCGATAAGGTTATCAAGTTCAATATCTCATCGTCGAGAACTCGGACAACTTTCGATCAACAACCGCAATCATGGCCCCCATTCAATCCGCGCTCTCGGAGACTCTCCGGTCTTTGACGCAAAGCAAGATTCGCGATTTAGAGAAACGCCAACATTCCTACGAGTCCGACATATCCTCTCTTCTTGACGATGCCAATTCGGTTACAGACAGTCTAGACAAGCTCGCACATTTATTGGCCGGTGTTAAGGACCTTCTCCCGCAGACGGACCGGGATGACCCTGAGATCACCAATATTGAACACTGTCTGAGCCAAGCGCGGTATGGCTCGTCTATTCCATTTGAAAAGTTGGTCTCGATCCGAGATCAATTAGTGTCGCGACTCGATATAATTAGTCGACGACTTAACCTTGCGGATTTATACACTCGTCTGTTGATAGAGTGGGTCAACAATGATGGGGAGTCGAATAAATCACCGGTTGAACCCCTCCCGATGAAGACGACTATTCCATCGTTGAAAAGAAACAGAAGCAGCGCCTCGAAGACCTCTGCGACCAATTTGAAAATGTGGTTCTTCGAGCCCCTAGAGACAAGGCCGGCGGAGATCCGCGCGTTTCTGGAAGACCTTTTCCCTGACGAGGAAACCAAGAACGAATTAGAGGTTGTTCGAGCCGGGCTAAGACAAGAATGCATTGATCTGTGGGACGAAAACTCGACCGGGGAGGGAGTGTTCAATACCGGTTCTTTAACGCTGTGTATCAAGGCCCTACTGAAGGAGGACATTCTTAGCGATTCGAAGAAGGAGATGCTGAAGGACTTCCTCGACAACAGGGTTGCATTGATTTAAATCGCCGACGTTTTGAACATGCGATAAAATGACCTGAAGAATTGGGAAAGGCACGCAGGCGATAATGGCATTCCCGTGCTCCCGACGCAGCAGTTAAATGGCAAATACCGAATCTGGATGGATTATGATGTTCTTCAGACGATCTTCATTCAGCATATTGGGGTTCGTCTGTGTGTTATCCTGAGGGAAAACCTGGAAATGTTGATCCGGAACTCATATTGTGGGATTGGTCGCCTGGTCCGGACATGATGAGGCGGGATCGACTGCGACGACAATATTACCTGGGGAAGAAAAGGGATAAGAGCGAAAGTGCGGCCAGTGTCAGAAATATCCGGAGAAATGAGTATAATGGGACTTACTTCGTGTCGCAGCTCCCCTAGTCAGAACGGACGCTTGCTGAGTATGGACGGTCGTACGACAAGGAAGATGAGGACGCTAAGCCATCGAATCAGGAAGAAAATAAGAATGTCAAGCAACATCTATTGCGCAAGGTGGCTACCGAAACGCTCCTGCATCGTGCTTTGCACGGAGAAGCAGCTGCTATCCAGTCAGACCTGAAATGGTACGGCACGTCACTGTCTCACAGCACCATCTTCACCATAATGGAGTTTGTAGGGTTCCCGCAACGATGGATTACCTTTTTTCGCAAATACCTCGAATCTCCGTTGAATATGGACCAGTCGTGCTCCGGTCGCGAACCCCGTGGTTCTCGGACCAGGAAACGTGGCTTGCCGATAGCCCATGCATCGGAGAAACTACTGGGTGAGCTGGTGCTTTTTTTTATGGATCTTGCGGTGAACCGGCAGACTGGGATGCTTTTGTACCGACTGTACGACGATCTGTGGATCTGCGGTGAGCCGGGGAAATGCGCGCAGGCGTGGGAAGTAATGCACAAGTTCGCTGACGTGACCGGGTTGGAATTCAATGTCTTCAAAACTGGTTCCGTCTATCTGTCCGACTCAAGGGATTTGGCGGTTCAGGCTCGACTGCCCAAGGGCCCCGTCACGATTGGATTTCTGACGCTCGATCCTGAATCTGGCGTTTGGAAAAATCGACCAATCCCAAGTCAACGAGCACCTGAACCAGCTCCAGAATCAACTCCAAAGCTGCGACAGTGTCATTTCTTGGATCCGCACCTGGAACAGCTGCATCGGTCGGTTTTTCAAAAGTAACTTCGGCCAACCAGCATATTACTTCGAACGGCCACACGTGGATGAAATCTTGGAGACCTATGAAAAGGTCAATCGCATCTTATTTGGTTTTCGAAGTTCCAACAATGGTTCAACATTAACAGAATATTTGCGTCAAATGATCAAGTCGCGCTTTGCCGTGTCTGATGTTCCAGACGCCTTCTTGTTCCTCCCTGAAGAGCTTGGGGGTCTAGGTCTCAAAAATCCGTTTATTCCTGTCTTGTTAGTTCGCGACAGCATCGCCACCTCAAAGTCGCCTGCTGAGCAGATCCAGCTCCTTCATGACAACTTACGGTCCACGTATGCGTCTCGAAAGAAGGAATTCGAGAACCTCACGGATGACGATCGTCATGAGCGTCTGGAAGGCCAGAAACTTGACTCGGAACAGGAAGCAAAACATGTTCTCGACCCGAGCATGTTCATGTCTTTCGACGAGTACATGCAGTATCCTGACACCAGGAATACCCAGGTCGCGGACTTTTACAAAACCTCTACCCAGGTTGCGGCTCCTGCGGAGATTAAACCGACCCCGGAATACAGTCAAGGGTTAAGCAAGGCACAATAAACCATTGATATTGGCGATCCTTCGCCCGAGGTCAAGTGGGTTTTGCATCTGTATGCATCTGATTTGATGGCTCGGTTTGGGGGGTTGGATTTGGTGGATAAGCGTTTTCTACCCGTCGGCGTGTTGACTATGATTAAGGAGAAGAAGGTCAAGTGGCAGATGGTGCTCTGATTGATCATTGAGTGTTTTCTTTTCGTCTCATTGGTACTTTGTTTCGAATCATGCCATTCATACTTTTGTTTTCTGCCTCTGTCGAATTAACCTTCCTGCACGACATCCATAATACTTATATCACTCAGTAAACCCCAATCCCTAGAGCTTTGGCGTCTCTTGCTCAGCGGTCGTAACCTTCGGCGAGCTCGCCAAACTACTCCCTTCTTCCTGCGGTTCTTTTTGTTTCCTTAACGCCCTAAGTACCCGGCTGTTAGCTCACCATTCTGACCCTGAATCCAAGTATTATACATACTTCTGTGCATTCTCCCTATGATGCAAAGTCCTTGTGGCCAACGCTGTCGCAATCATGATCGTTGATATAATTGTGACAGCGATATAACCCTTGCGGTACTGCGGTGCATCGACCTGCTGCCACACGACCTGCGGTAACCAAGCCTGGAACACGTAGGCCATTTCGTTCATGCTTCCGACTACGAGCGCTCGTTCTTCGTTGTCGTCGGAGCAGATCTCGTGCGCCCATCTAAAAAAGGAATTAATGGTTTGGTCTGCTGGAGAATGGGAATTCTTTCAAGGGAGGGAATGTTGGAATGCTAGGGAAGGGAAATGGGAGATAGGGAGACGTACGCCATGCAGAGCCCACTTAGGCCGAATCCTGCACCGCACATTATAAAGCACGCCCATCTCCAGCCTTCAGGGATGTCCCAGATTGCAAGAGAGATGTAACATATTAGGTTCACGGCCTGGACAAAGGGTTAGCTGTTGCTTTTGCCAAGTGTCATATTGGGAAGGTACGTACACCGCCGAATAGAATAGGGGGCCAGCGTCTGCCACCTAGAACGGAGTCGGATGTCCCTATTGCGTTGCATTAGTAAGTTTCTATAAAATAGAAGGAGAAGCAAGATAGCGTACAGGCATATATCAGTGTAGTGACAACCTGCACGGCACTCGTTGTGGTTGGATAGGCGTTGATCTGCCCAACCGAGTACTTGGGGTCTTTGGAGGCTTTGAGATACCTATCATATTGTCAGTTATTTCTCACATTCTTTCGCGTCGACGATGTTTCTCAATAATAGATATACTCACTGTTGAAAAATCGGCTGTCCACCTGCGCCACCATTATTGAAGGCCCTGCACGCACACCCGCATTAGCCCGCATCCAATGTTACCGAATAATTAAAGAAAACTCACATATACAACAGGGTCAGCACATAAATATGCCACGATGTAAAGATCTTCTTCACTTTTGCCTTGGTATAAGGCTCTCGAGATTTCCGCCCTTCCAATTGCATTCGTTTCTGCGAGAGTGCAATCTCATCCTTGCTCAGATACCACGGGTTACTGATCTCAGGGACATCCGGGAGTACGAAGAATCCGCTCAAAGCGACAGGGATGGAGATGATTCCGTCGACTATGAATAACCTATTCCGTCATTCAATGAATCTTGTGTTAGCGATAACATAATCAAACGGTTTTGCGCTAGAAAGTGAGGGTGTGTTTACCATTGCCATCCACGGAACCCTCCTTTTCCTTCCAGGTTATACACTGCTGCCATGAGATACCCCGAGAACATACTTGCCATCCCACTGCTGGTGTGGAAGATACACGATCGCTTCGCGAGCTCGTCTTTGCGGTACCAGCATCCGATTATGTATTGCATGCCCGGGTAGAAGGTACTTTCCGCCAGTCCTGCGCGTGAGATTTAGCTGCTGCGACCATCCTAGGCTAGTTGAAGACAGGTCTGGTTCATACCAACGAAGAACCGAAGAACGTAGAATTGCGTCGCAGTGTTACATCTTGACATGGAAAATGTGAGGACTGTCCATAGAAGCTTTTGGATCCTGGGTCAGTTCATCGCACATGCATACCGAGACCAGGAAAGGTGAAGTCGAAGAATACATACTTCCATAGCCGGAATCCAATACCGAGGTCTGATTCGAGTGAGGATGATGTTGCTGGGTATTTCCCCAAGAACATAGCCAACTGTCCAGCAGGTCTGCATGTAATTGAGCTCGTTGCCGTAGAGGCTCAGGTCCTCTTTCCTGATTTGCTGTTAGCTGATCGATGGCTTTGCATTAGTGCTGATAGCAAACTGAAGGATACCTACATTCCCGATACGAAAGCATTGTTGATGTTTATTTGGTCCAGATATTTGATGAAATACCCTGTTTTGACGTTAATTCGCTGAATTCAACGCACTTGTAGTAGAAGCAGCATACCTAACGAAGCAAACGTCAAAATAGCCGTGTCCAACTTGAACAACAACCTTCTCTCCTCGGGCGATTTATCAAACGTGTCCCAAATGTAACTGACCCATTTCCTCTTTGGGGATTTCTGAACAACGTCGATGGACGCATCAACGGCGCGTTCCTCCGTCGCGGCTGCTGATGGTGCCATTTCCCTTGCGTTTGCAAATCCTTTCTCCTATCCAAAGACGGGACGACGGAATTACAGAAAGGTTGCAAAAATGGTGATCAGATAACGATATGCTCACGCAAACCCAATCTAGCAGACCGTCATATATATACCAAACCCCCGGGGAGGACAATATTATCTAAGATGTTTATAAAGCGGCAAAAAAAGTCCCCTATCATGTTTGTCATGCAGGTAGATAACATGAAATCAGAAACTGACAGGACATAGGGCGGGGATACCCCCATTCACCATAATAGCGGTGTTCACGCAATCCCGCATCCTCATGATCCAGACACATTTTGCAGGGTTGCGGGGAGGAAGGAAGGGGAGAGTGGATCAGAAAATGCAGATCTGTTGATTGGATTCATGGGCGATGTATCATGTCGGTCTCGCCGGATCTGTCTGGTGGGAGGGATGCCAGACGCAAGGGTTATGCTTTAGCCGAGACTTGAAGTATCCTATGTTGTCGATTGGTAATTGGTAATCTGGCGATTAGATTGAGTTCGAGTAGAGAGACAGGCTACATTTGACTTGGAACAAGCGAAGAGAGATGTTCCCGGTGGGAGGTGTCGCAACCGTGGCGACGGAGCTCGCCATAGACCAGTTGAATGATGTGCCCGTGGCATTGGATCCATGCGCTTGCTTGATAGCTTAAATCGCGTTTTAGCGCTGAGCCAAGCCTTAAAACGAGCGATATATGCATGGCTGCTGATTTCGTGCTTGAGAGTTTCGGGAAATCTACGGCATCTTGAACGAGTCTATAATCTTTATAACATTGGCAGTCGGTTGAGTGCTGACTCTTGACTTGGCCCGACGACGTATGGCGTCCGGCATCTTCTCTATGGTGTCATCTACACTAAAATGAAACACCGCTAACTACAGACCTCTAGCACCGGAAGCTCTCCGATCCCGCTATCTCGTCTTTCCGCGGTCCCTTGGAAAAGGTTTTTGATCCGTTCTCGCTGCGCGGCTTTGGCCTCATGCCAGATCGGCGTGTGTCCTTCAATTATCGGAAGTCCCTGACTTTCCCGATTACGGTTGACCCAGCCTAGGATGTCCTCGACGTAAAACTCCTCGATGTCCTTTAACGAGTGGAATTTTCTGCCGGCTCCGATGCGCTGCACGCGCTCGGTGTATTCGGTTCTCATGTCTGCCTCTGTTGGTAGTTGCGCGATGCCGGATAGAACTGCCGTCACGACGATCGCTTGGAATTCAAACAATGTGAACGTCGCGGTATAATATGGAATTCCGATGAATATCAGCGTTGGGTCGGGGATGTAAAAGATGTCTTTGTGCAAATTGTGTACTTGTGTTCCGTCTGTGACTAGAATTCGGTCGTCGGCCTTCTCCGGGGATATTTCGTCGTTGTGATATTCGGGTAGGAAGGGGAGGGTGATGTGATAGCCGGTTGCGATGATGATGCCGTCGAGTCCGCAAAGTCTCTGTCCTGACTTGAGATGTGCTACGATGGGCATAGAATCGTTGTCCGATATCTCCTGGTCGTCATCCTGTATCTCAAAGTGTGACACCTCGCTGATTCGGACTCCGTTTTCAGGAAGCATGGTCGGAGAGAGATCGAACTCGCCATTTCGAGTGCTCTGATAGACGTTCTTGGAAACGCTTCCAATCTCTCGCGATATGTCGACCGAAGATACACCTCCACCAATGAGTAAAATATTCTGTATCGAAATTGATGAGTCGGTCTGAACTGTCAACAGTCGCTGGGTAAAGCTTACCTTATCCTTAAACTCATCCGGCTTCCTATATCCCTTGGAATGTATGATCCGCGATGGCCATTTCGACTTGGCCTCCGACAAACCGGCTATATCGGGCACCCGGGCAGCATGATAATGTCCCGACGCGACAATCACCGAGTCAAACGTCTACCCCCGTCGAATATCAGCGATTATTCTCTCCGTCGGTAAAATGCCAGTACATACCGAGATCTGTTCCACCTCCTCAACCCTTCCAGGCTGGCCATATTCACGCAGACTCGACCACGTCACAGACCATGTCTCTCCCTCCTTCGAGATGTTTTTCACCCGCGCCCCGTAGGTCGTCACATCATGGACACCTGCCTTTCTGGCTGTATCTTGGATATACGCTTGCATTACCGTATGGCTGACGAAATCTGGGGTTCCCTCGGGCCAAGCATTGAGTTTGACTCGCATCAACGGAGTGGAGACGTTATTCTTGAGTCCTTCGTAGCACGGGCTGGACATTGTCAGTTTCCGTTCCTGAGCGAGTTGAACAAAGCTACCTACCCCGGAGGAGCATGTTCCAAGACTATTTTGGTTTCATCATCGTTAGACCGTTTGCCCGTTCTCTCAGCCTCCGAAGGCTTCATAGATGGATACTCGGGTTCGAGTGGTCGCCGTTCGTCGTAGAGCCTGAATAAAATATCAGCCAACTTCCATGTCAAGACGGCGAAAAATGTTAAAAAGTGCATCAACATACCACACACCACCAGGAGCCTTATTCCTCTCAAAAATTGTGACGTCCAGGCCCGCAGCCAAAAGGTGACCTGCCGAGACGACGCCACTAATTCCGGCGCCGATCACGGCCACTCGTCGGATCTTCTCATTGCTTCCGGCCATGATGCAGGTATTATTTTGTGGTGCTGGAAGCTCGTGCGGCACAGTAGACACAATGACCTGGCGTTTACCATTTAAGGGGAGAGAGTGTTCAAACTAGCATGGCTCATCCCAAGGTTCGACGGTGTTGCGCGTAGCCAGGCACGTTATGGCAGACCGAAGTGATGTAATTCCGACGCTCCATAACACCGAGTCGAAGGCCCATCATGTCAGGCAATGCGATATCCACATGGAGCTCGGACGATGGAGCGTTAATCGAGCCGATAGAAAGAAACAGCCAATGTGGTGTCAAGATGGGAGGGTGTTTTATGAATTATAAATCATTTGGCTGGAGACGCCATCGTATCCTGGCATGGTGATATTCGAAACACGAGTCCCCCCGCCTCTGAGGAACCGAGATCTGCGCCCGGAGTGGACGGAGATAAGAGGTAGACGGAGGGGATTGAGGGGTTGTTGAGCATATCAGAGTCAATTGTGGTTGTGCGAGGCAATGAAGCTCCAGGAGTGGGAGGCTCAAGGCGCAATGGGGGGTGGTGATGATGTGATCGAATCCTGCATCGGAAGCCGTGAAAGAGGAGGTGCGTTCATTCCCAGTGCTGCAATCATTAGAAATCACAATTCGAGCATTGGATAGAAGATGATGGAGAATATAAAGTGGAGATGATGAAGCTTGGACCGTAATGTAGTGAGACTGGTTAGACCCGTTCTTCGATAGTCATTTCTGATATCTTCGTTAATAGAGAACCTAGCCATGGCCCCAGCTCCTATTGACCCACGCATTGTCGACGTCGCGCCGCCCCGGAAGGATACTCTAGCTCTACCTTCGGCGGCTCGAGAACGTCTGGAAAAGTCTGGGGTTGATCTCTCTGCTGGCTATCCGTATCGCCCTTCTCGTCCGCTCTACCTGGACGACGTCTACAATATCCGCAACGAAGACCGCGAACATGTGGATCCGGGTTCTCGAGCTGATCCCGAAAAGAAGGCCTTGCTCTCGGCAGCCAAGGAGGTGATCCATCTAACAAGGCATATTGGAACAGAGATTGTCGGCCTCCAGCTCAAGGACCTTACCGACAAGCAAAATGACGAACTAGGTCTACTGATCGCCGAGCGGAGCGTGGTCTTCTTCCGAGACCAAGACATCTCTCCCCAACAGCAGAAGGATCTGGGCGAATGGTTTGGAGAGGTCGAGGTGCACGTAAGTCGATTGCTCTGTCCCATTCAAGTTCCTTGCATTGAACAATCCGCACAGCCTCAAGTCCCGCAAGTACCCGGGGTTCCCGGCGTTAGCGTCCTCTGGCCAGCCCTCATGGCCAGCGAGGGTGTGGCGCCGGGCTTCCGTCGCCCTGGAGGCGCTTCTCGCTGGCACACAGATCTGGTTCATGAGCGCCAACCCGCCGGGGTCACCCATTTGCACAATGACACCATCCCCACCGTCGGCGGAGACACCCTCTGGGCCAGCGGGTACGCTGCATACGAGAAACTGTCCCCGGCCTTCCGCAAGATCATCGACGGACGGACTGCTATCTACCGGTCTGCGCATCCTTACCTGGACCGCAGTAACCCCGAGGCAGGGCCCAAATACGTAGAGCGAGAGCATCCGCTTGTTCGCGTTCATCCGACGACCGGCTGGAAGGCTCTCTGGGTTAACCGGGCCATGACCGATCGGATTGTCGGCTTGGATAAAGCGGAGAGCGATGTCATTCTGGGATATCTTTATGATGTGTACGAAAAGAATGTCGACATCCAAGTCCGGTTCCGCTGGAGTCCAAGGACCAGTGCTCTTTGGGATAACAGGTTAGTCTATGTTGACCCTATCAATGCGGCCGTATCCACGGTATTGACAGAGTACAGAATCACGATCCATAATGCCAGCTGGGATTACGAAGGCTCAGAGCCAAGGCATGGAACAAGAGTGACGTCCCTGGCTGAGAAGCCATTCTTTGATCCTAATGCGCCAACTCGCCGAGAAGGGCTAGGCCTGCTGGGCAAGGACGAGATAGAGGAATTGGCTAAGCAATGATCGCTCATGAACACTGTTTTTACGTGAATATGACACTCGTCCATCTTATCTTCACTTGCCTGATCCACTGCTCTTTGAGTGACCATCGTAGTCAAAGAATGGGCAATTCAGCTCAAATCCAAAGAGACTGGATGATTAGCACTGCACGTAGCCAAGAATCAGACGAGCAAACGACTTAGTCCCATGCTTTCGACTACTAAGTCTGGAATTTAGTAGATATCAAAGATATGTGACCGATCGCAGCCCATTACTCGGAATGTTGCGAGCCGATTTCGGAAGGCATTCTGGGACAATGGTCCGCACGATCAGTGTGGCACGGTAGATAGTGCTCTAAGCAAAGATAATGGTCGACCTCTCCCTGTCGTACTCCGTGCGATGTTCGACCTAAAAGTCGACGGTGCCGGGATTTTAGGTATCCGAATGAATTTCTCTAGGCATATCAAGTTGTTATTGCAACCAGAAATCGAAGGAATCTACTTGCGTCGCAGTATGTATATCCAATGAAACACCTCTGGCGTGTGCACGAACGCCGAAGTCTCGCCCTGCGGCGCCTTCACCGGCGTACGAGACACCAGGTCCCAATAGTCCGCCAAATGCCCCAAATTATCGAAGCGCATCGTCGAATAAGACAGCGTAGCCCACGTAGCACCCGGACGCGTTAACGGCACCAGATGCAATCCCAGCAGCTCGACCGGGGACATTATCGTCTCGCCGTTATGCTCTATAATGCGCCGGACGGTCGGACAGATATCGGCCGGGGCTGTGTCCGGCGAGAAATGAGGCGATGGGCCGGTCGCAATCGCATCACTGGTGCTTTTTTCTAGGATGATATCGAACGGTCCGAGGGGAGAAAGACGCGACATGTCGTCCCACGACCGCAGGTCTGCGCGTAGCCAGTGCATAGCGCACGACACATCCTCCTTGCTCTCTCTCTCGAGGCCCAGGCGGACTGCTTCGGCGGAAAAGTCGACGTTCTGTACGACACGGAGACATTCGTGTTAGTGAGGCTGTTCAGTTGCAAAAAGGGGAAGACGGGGGGAATGCGCGCACCACAATGCCATTACCCAGCCAACGACGCTCCGTGAAGGCGTCCCGAAGTTTGACCCCGAGCTGTGATATCCCCGGTCCCAAATGTAACACGCGAGGCGTCACGTCAACCGCGAAAGACGACCGGCTCTCCAGGTCGGACACCACGGCGTCGACGAGCGACTCGCCCGGATTTAGCCATTCACCGACATCTCGGCCGGTCGCAAACTTGTGATCCCAGAACTGCACGTCGTCATAGTCGGCAGTACCAGCAAGTTTGGCGTGGGTTCTCCCATTTGACGGGGTGGCCATCTTTCGAAGTTCGACGCGAGGCTTTGCAAAGAATTCACGATCATTGACGTCAGCTGACCTCGTTCCGCTTAGTCAGGGGTGGCACGTGTCTAGCAGGAGAACAAAACAAAAACAGGGATCTTCTAGGCCAAGATGGGTTGATTTTCTTTGCGTAGATAGTGATTCAGATTTCAAGAGCTGTCATTAGAATAGTAGTCCTTAACAGCTTGTTTGATTATGTTTTGGAGGCATGATGTTATCGCTTGGTTTTGCCGTGTGAAATGATATATAAATCCCGACGGACTCCAGATGCCTACCAAAGAGATTTTGGAACCATGCCAACTGAAAATAGATACAATTTGGACAATTAAAACATTTGAATATCTTTGGGCTTACTTAAAAAGCGAGAGACGGCCTTTCAAGTACAAAGTACTCCAAATATTTGGCTGTAATAGCAATGGAAGTTAATATGAAGGGCAGTACTGTTGACATTGATATTAATATATGACTTTAGCCTGAATCCTTGACAAGACGTGAACTTCGGTCGATATTATGAGGAAGACAAAACTCCTTAAGGTTTTATTGATGCAGGAGAATTACTGGGAGGCATCTACTTTGTTCCGTCCTCCCCCGTAAGAATCAGGCCCAATAGGAAAAGTGAGCCCTAATCGCAGAATGATCATAGACACATAAGAACCAAAATGGCAAAAGTTCTTGCCCCAGATCAAAATGCGTTAGGAGTAATAACTGGTCCGATTCAGCGAAGCTGGCTTGGTTACTTTCGAAGGAAACAAGGATACACTGCGATATAAGACATATTCTGAACTCTACGTTCAACCTAGATTGCAAGGCCCCAAGATGAAATTGTGGCAAGTTCCATATAACGTCCTACGTAATTGATCGTCGAAAAACCCACGACTGTATACTCAGATGGTCAAGAAAGACAGAATGGTCGATCATGCCAGGGCGCGTTACTCGACGACCTGTCGACCGACCGGCCGACGCTCAAGATCACCACGCAACGAGCCAACGAGCACCGCCATGTCAGACAAAGGAGGGAGGGAAAGTCCCATACAGGAGACTAAGCAGTGACAACGCCATCCGCCGACGATCCGAATCCAGCCCGACCATCTCACCCATCAGGCTGCTGGATTTGACGAAAGGAAGGAAGTCTATTCGCAGAGACGCATCCAATCGCTGGCGCTGTACCCCAGCTCCAGACCGATTCTGCAGCAGAACCTGACAACCACAACACGCCACCTCCAATCATGACCTCGTCCAGTCGAGTCGAGCCAACCGTCGAGTCTGGCGCTGTACAGCTCGTTTCATTCATTCATTTGATACCTCGCAGCGCTATGTCTCGTGACTACCCCGCATCCAGATGGTATATAAACCCTGGTCTGCTGGTGTCACCTTCAGGAGGTCTTGTCTTCAATTATCGAGAGTATTGCTATCGTGATACTCATCATCATCATCATATTACTGAATCTACTTGACTCTGAACTTCTGTGATCTCTACCATCCGCAAACATGTCTGCACCACAAGCCCTACAGAGCCTGTCTACCCTGGGATCCTCTGTAGGCCAATACGGGAGACAACAACTGTCGACTTTGAGAAACCGAATCTTCAAGACAGGTAGGACTCCTGTATCCTTCCCAGTCTGTCCGTTCGATCTAACGAGGAGGGGAAAAAGACAAGTCTCGACGCAGGGCACAGATCATTCAAGGCTCGATCATGGCACACCGTCCCGTGTGGCTCACTGCAGGAGGGGCCGCCTATACCACCGCGGGCGCAGTATACCTTACACTACACTATATGCGTCGACTCAGATAGGTTTATCGATAAGGGTGACGGATATCTCCAGATAGGACGGAGATGATATAGCGGAGGGATGATTCCTAGACGGACGCCTCGTATTTTCCTTTGTTTACTGCACACGGACTTATGACTTGGGGGGGAGAGGTTTGGTTTTATTTTGGACGGATGAATCAGATTCACATTCAGATTCACATTCAAGCCACAGGATGGCCGGGAGAAACGGAGTTTTGATCATGTTTTTATTTTTCGTGTTTATTTCAAATTTTACCACTGTGAAGATACTGTAACTGGCGAATCGAAATGATGTAGTATCGACCAGATCGAGAGAAATAAGCAGGGGAGGAGGGGAAGCGGGCGAAGTCAGGGGTGAGTGAGACTCGTGACCTCATCATGGATGTAAATGAAATACAAAGAAACAGGGATGTTCCCTTTCAAACCCAATCAACGTCAAACCAACCTGCGTCCATCAGGCCACATCTCCTGCGTCAGTGGCATCACCCGTCTCCTTAACTGTCGACAATAAGGTCCAGGGATCCATACAGAGCGGAGACGCCGTTATGGGCTGATATCACCACTTTTCGATCGTCGATATTAAAAGATATCTCTCCCAAATCGCTTATTTACTTCCTGCTACCGGGTCCAGGACTTCCAACCCCACTGTGAAGCTTCTCGTAGACACTAAACCACGGAGGGACTTTACCCCAGATCCACCGTGGCGGCCGTCCTCCCCATCCAGAGTGGTACGTATCCATCGGGCCTGGTGGTGGGGGACGATTGGCTGTCAACGAGGTGGCTTGCAGATTGACTGGCAACCCCGCTCGTATAGAACCAATGGGCGGTGCAAGAATGTCACACTGCAGGATACCCCGGATGCTTGGCAACCCCGCACAATCCTTTCGGGCCTTTAGGGGGGTGGGAATAGGGGGTGGAGGGGTGGAGGGATGGGACTAGGTAACTTCTCCGTATATGGAGGTAGATAAGAGGTTATACGGTGTAAGTACTTTTTACCATAGCACTAGCAGTATGGTGATTTGTTTTGGTGGCAACATGATAGGATTCTTCGAATTAGATGGATCCCACTAGTACCGTGGAAACACGGAATTGTCTCCATGCAGGCCTTGCAGGGATGGCCGGGGTTGAGCCCTACATGTTACCCGTCACATACCTATCTGCATGGCCAGCGTCATACGGTCGATCACAACTTCAACAGGAGAATCAAGCAGCGGAGTTTCTTATTCGTTCCCATCTCGGCCTCCACGGTGTCGAGGGTGGCCAAGATGGAATCAAAGAGTTGGTTGAGAACATCAAGCGTGTGCCCAAGGCTCCCCGCCGTCTTCATCTCCTCGAGGATGAACAGCTTAGTCTCTTCTGTGACCTCGTCCCGTTGTCCCTCCTTGCCAAAGATGGGCAATCGACGAAGAACCCCTGCATTCGAGCTCTGCTGCAGCAGGTGGATGAGCGGGAAGGAGAACTTCCCCTCTGACAGATCATCGCAGAATCCTTTCTTGGCGGTATACTGATCGGCTGTTAGTACTGACTATGCTGGGACCAGGTGGTGATATCATACCTCTTCCGACGCTAGATTCTGATAGTCATCGCGAATTTGATAGTACCTTCCTATCAGTGTGATCAGATGCCTGAGGTTATCATTGGACTGAGCTCCAGCATCAATCTGCATGAGCTGCAATGCCAAACGGAAGAACCCGCCTGTTTTGTGGTCTATCATGACTAGATATTCGCTGACCGTTGGGCAACTCCTGTGAAATGTCTAGTTTAGGTCCATGCCTTGGCCTAAGGTGAGAATCTCAAGCTCATCTGGAAAAATTAGCAGAACGACCCATACCATGAAGAAAAATACTCACTTAATATAACGCTCAGACATCCAGGCCGCAAATTCCTTTCTACCAAAGCCGTCGCCGTCCCGAACAGATACGTCGCCGAGTTGACAGTCTGACTGAGTCCATATTTTACGTGTGCAGCTGGCAAACCCCGCCGTAGATGAGAGCCGTCCTCGATATCGTCGAGCCTGTCCGAGATTTAGCTTTCTGCATGGTAGGGATCCAGGGTAAACCTACATGAGCGAAGAGGTGAAAAGCATTGTCATGATCTCCTTGATCACGGCAAGAGAGGTGTCGGATATTAGAAACCATGGCCTCAGAGTTTGAAGAAACTTCGCGAGAGTGTTCTTCCCGGGAAGAGATTTCGTGTAGATGTAGGGGTTTGTACAATTCTGGAGCCATCAGTGTTAGGCCGGTAGAGGGGAAACTGTGGGAGACATACATCTTCGGCGTCAGATTTTCGGAATGGTGCAAGGATATCATAGCTGGCTGTCGCCTGAATATTGCCGTTTTCATTGCCCTCATCACGCTGCTGATTCTGCGCGTGCTGCGACCACGGACACGTGCAAGAATCCCCATCTAGCGATAGATACTCGTTGGATTCAACAAGGGCAGCTGGAGGTGCGTATCCGTTCAACCTCAACAACGGTCCAGCCGGTTTAGCGATCATTCGAGCTCGAGATTCCTTCGAATGCATTGGTTCGTCAACATGGTAACCCTCTGACTGCGCCTGCCAAAAGTTACTGCCACCGATCGAGAGAATAAACAGTCCCATGTATGAACTGAGGTTCTCCGATTTAGGCTCAGGGGAATCTTCCCACTACTTATACCCGTCTATTAGCTTCTTCTCGGCGGCTAAGGTTTCAGCCTTCACGATTTCCTTCGCCTTGTCTTCCTCGTAACCATAATTTCTCATGAGAAGTGCAACCGCGTTATGGATATGATGGACGGTTCCATTCGCCACATGGCTGTGATACTCCCTCTCAAAGCCGTAGTAGTCATTGGAGAGCGCCGTGCTGAGGTATCCGTACTCCAAGAGCTGGGAGATGGAGCTTCGCTCTTCGTCGGGGATACGGTAACCATGGAAGAGCATAGCTATATCAAATCCGATCCTACAGTGAATTCGACGATTATACCCATGATTAACTCGACCCCGCGTGATGAGAAAGAGAAAGGAACCCACTTCGCCCCAGCCCTGTCCATTCGGACCCTTTTAAATCTTTCAAACGTCATCCCAATATCTGGCCTCACTGGTTGAGCAATGATGGCAGCCATCAGTGCTTTGAGAAACGGTTCCTTGAGATCCGGCCGGCTTTTGATAACGGGGTTTAGGAACATCTCGGCTAACTTGCCATTTCCATCCGAGCAATTATTGGGAGTCGTGTCCAGTTTCCAGAAGCTGAGGATCGAAAGTAGCAGGTCATCGAAGATTTTCTCTTGCTGGGTAAATTGATTAGCTTGTCATGCTCCAGAGAGGTGACGTTGACACTTACAGCCTCATAATCGAGGACACCAATCGCGTCTAAGCTAATTAGCATCTCTCAATGAGAGTTTGAAAACGAGGAACCAACCATCCAGACCTAGCAAGAGATCTAGAAACGGCGCAAGAAGGTGTAAATCTTCAGGCGAAAGCTCCGGCATGCCCCATTTGAGAAGATGGTCTTGCTTGGTTATGGCGGGTTGATCGAGAGCTCCAGACCTATTCTTGCTTCGGAGTTGCGCGAACTCCGCAACCTTATCATGCTCGACGCCGTAATGCTCATCGCCGAGAGTGGATTCTCGATAAGGCAGGATATTGAAGTAGCGAGGCGGTCGAGGCGCAGCTGGATCAGGAAGCCTGGAGTACTGGAAACGGAAACTAGGTAGAATTGACATGTTAGGATGGGACGAGGACGGGCAGTAGAATTAGATGAAGATTTTGAAGCCTGGTATTGACGCTCTTCAGGATACGAGGGAGCATTTAAGACGTTCTGGTGTTTACTGATAGGTGAGAAAACGCTACGTTTAGTCCGACATAAGGTTGCCACTAGTGCCAAAATTATTGGCCCAACTCACCTTTCAGCTGAGCTTTGCTTATTGTTTGGTATTTGTACATTACGCATTTGCGAGGCCCACAATCGTAGGCTAGATATGATAAATCATATAAGTTATGTGTCAAACGCCAGAAATGCCACATTTCCCTTATCCTTGCGCTCACAAACGAAAAGGCAATCAAACCATTTGCTCTGATTCTTCCGAGAACGCATCTTCCAATAACTCTCGGAGCCCTCGAAACTGCACGTCCGAGAAAAATCGTTTCCTCTGCTCTTGAACCCTATCCATCGGAACAGCACTCGCACCCTTGACATTCCATTCATCCATATACGCAACCCCCCGCTCAGCCGGCCCCAGGGTTTCCTCATTGCGCAGCGTTTCGAGGATACTCTCCTTAGTCTTCTCCTTCACCTCGAACTTCCTTCCATAGAACTCCTCTGCGATTCGGATCGCTTCATTCCACGTCCCAATCTGTCCAACCACATAGATGTGCTTCTCCCAGCTTCCCTGTGGCGCATTTCGAAGCTTAACCAGAGCACGAGCAACGTCCCGAGCGGACGTCCATCCAATCGGCTCTTCACCTGTTCCTAGTCTCGTTGCTGTGAAGGTATCGAGATCGAGGGGCCACACGCTAGGAAGGGGCTTCATATACGATCGGACTTTAGATGTATCAAGTTCCCTCGGCAGCGTGGCCGGTTTCGCAACTTCCGTGGGTCTCCGAGTAGCCGGTTTATAAGGAACAACAGTCGGATCGACTTTGTTGCCCTGGACAATGTAGTCCATGAACCAGCCACCGTTGACAAACGTCCATTCCACATCTTTCTCGTCAGCGATCGTTTCGCGAAACACGCGATGGGTGGAGTCATAGAATCTCGGAAGACCGGGGAAACGATCAATATCGCCACCATAGTCGGAGGGGACGAAGCGCTTGCAAGTTTCGCTGTTCCGACAGGCCGTCAACATGGCCTCGTGTGCGGTATTGTAGAATGCTGGGTCATTGGAGTGGAGGAACGAGAAGAGGGCAGTAGCTTGGGTTTGGTTCAAGATGGATTGAATAGACGGAGCCGAGTAATCGGTGACATGGAGCGAGATGTGAGGGTTGGATGTGAACCATGGTCGGTTAGATAGTGAGCGAGTCAGAACTCCTATTTGGGGAGGATTGGAAGGGTTCGAGGCAATGAGTTCTTCAATTAGGTATTTGGCGACGTCGCTGGCGCCGGCGATGACGATGCTTTGCGTTGGGGTGGACATTGTTAGGATGGGTGGGATTAAATCAATTGCGTGTTTATAGGAAAGAAGATTGATTGTTATGGGAGAGATATAGACTTGAATGTTGTACTCTTTATATACTTGACAGGAGTATATTTACCACAGTTTACTAGTGAACTAACTAACGGAGAGTTACTTAGTTAAAGGAGTTCAGTTCCTCCGATCGGAGACTTTCCCGCCCTATCGCCGTGCTTATCTCCGCGAAGGATTCTATCTATACTATTAGCAGTGGTCCCATCTTGGCAGAGATCCTCGCACATTTCCGTGAATAAACAGTTACCATGTCCGATTTCCCTCTCGCCGCCGCCACATCAGCTGCAGTGGAGCAGTCGTCAAGGTGAAATAATCGTGCGCCCCCTCCAGGAATGCCTCTTTGCTCTGCCCGGGAGCCAGGCTAACATCGTACCGGCTCAACAATTGAGCCGTGACACATCGCAGCTCCATAAGAGCGAGTCGCTTTCCGACACATGAGTATGCCCCTATGGAGGCTCAACGTCAGTAAATGTTCGAAATCTCCGATCGAGGGAATATACCAGAGTTAAAAGGTATGAAAACGGATCTATTCTTGACCAACTGCAGCTCAGTGGTCCAACGGCTGGGAAGAAACTCTGTGGGACGCTCAAAGTTGCGCTCATCTGGAAATTTCAATCAATAAGAATAGAACATGAACAGCTGCCCGGAAAAGAAGTCTTGCCTCTGAACACAATGTGATGTGGGATCTGCACATTGACATTCCCCGGTATATAGGTATCGCCAATTTTCAGTCCCTCGGGGGGAGTTTGGCGTTGCGTGCCTGATGGCAGTACCGGATGCAGCCTCAGGGTCTCGTTAATGACAGCATCGAGGAGATCTAATTGCGTTAGATTCTGATGCGAGAAATCTTCTAGCTTATCCAGGTCGAATTGTAGCTGTTTCTTTAAGTCTGGCTCCGTCGCAAGGTGAAAGAAGATGTTTGTCAAGGTAGCGGCCGTGGTGTCACTGAAAGTAATCAATTAATCACTTCATTTCTGAAATTTCTTTTGTAGATGAAGTTCCTCGTACCTTCCAGCCACAACGATTAAGAAGGCATCAGTACGAAGGTTGAGAGTATCCTGCTTGGTCTTGGGACCATTCCGATAGCTTTCCAGTAACCATGAGAATACATCAGGGCTCTCTGGCTCATTCTGTGATACTGTTAACGGGAAGCCGTTATGACAGCTATGGTTTTACTTACATCCATTCGATCTTTAACCTTCGCATCAACCCCAGCCCAGAATCTCAAATTTTCTCTATTGAGTATGGGAGTTGACACAAAGAACGGGAACAACCATACTAGGTGCCCTAGGAGCCCTACACTTTTCATAGTAGCGTGAAGTGAGTTCAAGAAGAAGGTATCCCCGCTGTTTAGCAGCATACCGAACGACTTGCCAAAGGAGAGATCCCCCATCACATCAAACGCGTAATAATTGCACCACTTGGCCATATCGATACTGGTGTCAACGTGCTGTTCAATGACATCGACCAATTGATTGGCATATTTGACAACGCGGGATTCGTAAAGGCGCAGAGCTGGAAACCAAAATCCAGGTGAATTAGGAACTCGAAGGGGAATAGAAAATGAGGGTTCTTACATTTATCATTCAATCCTCTGTCCCATACTTTCTTACGACGTGCATGTATTTTTTTGTCTCGCTCAAGCTGCAAGGAAATTCGATCCCCAAAAATCCCATACCACGGTCCCTTGGAGACCGGTGTCTGCGGGCCATGAAGAGCAACGATAGCTTCCGGGTCTGTAATAGAAAGTTCCGTTGGGCCTTATGCTCAGTTAGCAAAATTGAGCACGGCAATCACAACCAAGAAAAACTATATACCTAGTCGCACGTAGTCACCGAACCTCTTATGTAGCTTTTCTGTCTCTGTATAAAATTGCATCTTCTTGCCAGCGAGAAGTGTGGCATAGAGGTTCGATATCTTGGCAAAAAAAGGGCCCGGGAAATGTTTCAGTCGATGCAGGAAAACGCGATAGAATAACATGCTCGCATATACTCCCAGGATATGCCAGAAAACAGTGTAACCGACCCACTGGCACGGCAGGGAAAGCCCGAATCCTTCGCCCCACTTGGGTGCGAAAGCGAATATAGTCAACAGCACATAGGTGAATAGAATCGACGGTGCCTTTTCGTCCCACTCCCCATGTCGATAAAGGAGGACATGGGTGCCAATGCCGGTGGCTGCTCCCACCAGGGAGGGGGTATAGGAAGGCATAAACACCCTGGCAAGCCACTGGAAGTTAGGTATGTGCTATGGATGGTCCGGTGCTGGGTTGCCTCCGCGCTGATCGAAAATTGTTAAGACAACTTGGTTTTTTGTTTGAATCAAAGGTTTTGGTTCAAGTGGTGAATCTGAGAAAGAAGAAATCCTCAATAATGTTACATGCTATTGAGGGGTAGGCTTGGCAATATGTACCCTGGTGATCCACACGTCTATAAAATAACTAATCAGATTTTGTCCAGTAACGTAGGTAACCGGACAACGAAGCGGCGTGACAACGGGCCGGCGCGGCACCTCGCCACTTATCTTAAACTTCAACGTTTTATTCAAACAACGCATTTCAACACTGCAAAAATCGCTATGGAGGCCTTATCTCGAGATGAGCGTTTAGAGCATGCAAGTTAGGCCTTTAATAAAGGCCTTGGATGTCAAGATAAGCACCTTGAAAGATCGGTTGAATTGAATGGAGTCAAATCTCGCAACGAAAGGGAAGCGAATAATCGCAAGCTTTCCAACAACGAGGAATCAGTATTGAAGCGAAAGATCCTTGATATGGACTCTCGTGGACACCCTCTTACTATTGCAAAGGTCCGTTATCTCGCAGAATGCCTCCTTCGGGCCAACTTGAAGCCATTCGAATCGCCTGAATCCTCCGAACTTGCTTTTATCAGTGAGCGCTGGGTCCGCCGCTTCATCAACCGCCACGAGGCTGAAATCAAGTCAAAATACTCAAAACGTTACGATTATCAACGAGCGAAATGCGAAGACCCCAAACTTATAATGCGTTGGTTCGAATTAGTGCAGAATACCATACAAAAATATGGGATTCTTGAATAGGATGCTTATAATATGGATGAGACGGGTTTTCAAATGGGCGTTGCTTCAACTGCAAGGGTCGTATGCGGCGCAGAATCGCGAGAATCGAATGCTCGAGCGATTCAACCCGGTAATCGCGAATGGGTCACTTCAATCGTCACGATCAGTGCAGCAGGATACGTTCTACCGCCGCAGATCATCTTCGCCGGAAAGCTTCATCAAGAGAAGTGGTTTGAAGCTATTCCGAATGACTGGCGGGTCAGCGTGAGCGAGAACGGTTGGACTACTGATAAACTCGGTTTTGAATGGCTTCAATTCTTTGACGAATATACGGCTTCCAAAACGATCGGCCAATATCGCCTTTTAATCCTCGATGGCCACGGATCCCATTCAACAATTGAATTCGATCAATTTTGCAAGAAACAAGCATCATTCCTCTCTACATGCCTCCGCGTTCATTTCATAAACTTCAACCTCTTGATGTAGTGTGTTTTGCACCTCTAAAGAAGCTCTACGGCCAGAGGATCAATGCGGCGGTACAGGGAGGCATTCAATCGATCGATAAGAAGGCTTTTATATCGCATTATAAAATCGTCCACCCACGGGCCTTCTCTACAGCGAATAAAAAGAAATCTTTCGCTTCAACAGGCCTTTTTCCGTACAAACCACAAAGGGTCATTTGAAACCTCAAATTGTGCGTTTCAACACCTACACCACCTTCGACTTTATCTTCAAATCATTCGTTTTACCTCAGAAAAACGCCTATGAACCTCTACCAATTGAATCATCAACGCGAAGAGAATCAAGCTCTGCAAGAATCGAGTTTATCGTCGCTTCTAGCGGAACAAACGCATGAAAAGGTGTATAAAGCGGCCGAAATCGAGACTAAGGGGATGGAATGCAGGGGGGCACCGTTATCCCCATGAATGTATGTCATTTCTAGGATCAAGGTACATAGCATGCTCACAATGTCCATTCTATTTAATTCCTATCTTCAGTGCTCAGCTGGCATAAGCTTCCTCGATCTCTCTTCTATATAGACTCTTCGAAGCACTTCGCTGCGGATAGCCCTTCACCCCCCTCGGCAGCGGTCTGTCGGGACTGACGAAGATGACCCCATTCCTCAAGGTGCACCCCTTGACCGGCGAGAAAGCGTTCGCCTGCTCTATCCACCCAGATATCTCAGTCAGCCATGTCTCCCTTTTTTCCTGACTGCCCACCCCCTCCCCATCCTGAAGAACCCGATCTTCCAGCTCCACCAACACTGGCATCCCACCACCCCTCTCCTCGCAGACAACCGCCCCCTTGATAGCCGCACATGACTCCAAAACAACCTCCATATCTCGAGGAATGAAATGCCCTACACTATCCGACTCCGTCCAATCGTCCGTCCGGCCACAATACCGCCATAAACCCGCCTTCCGCGGATCCGGATGTCTTCGAAAGAGATCCTTCATCGGATACTCGTGCATAGCGGGAAACATGTAAAAGGCACTCTGTCCTATATTTTTCTCGTCTCTTAGAATGACCAGCTCGTGAAGACCGTGTCCCACGGGCCGGAATTCAAACGGTGCTACTTCGTCGAATTTCAGATATGCCCAGTCCTCGGGATCGGAGGTGACGTGGATGGGGAAGACATTGGCTTCTGAGGACCCGTAGACGTAGGTGATGGGGACGTATCGGCTAAGGACAGGCCCGATGTCTAGTGGACATGGGGCGCCGACGACGACGAGATGCGAGAGGTCGCGGAGACGGTTGAGGTAGGACGGGTTGGCGCATGTCTCGCGGAGGTATTTCGGACTCACGATCACGGATCGGACGTCGCCGTGTTGGATGGTGCCGTCGAGGACGTCTGCTGTGACGGGCCCGACGCTGGAAATCGGTAGAACAACGGTGAGATTGTAAACTAGGTTAATGCCCAGAAGCGTGTAGAAGCTCGCTGCGATGGTCATGGGCGCAAGATACGCGACACGCTGGTCTCGCCAGTGCCGGAAATTCACCGATCCCGGGTCTTCGGCGCATAAATACATGAGAGCTTGTTGATTCATTGTGGCATGTGTCATGAAGATGGGCTTGGCGGTCCCGGTGGTCGCTGAGGTGTGGATTGCTGCAAAGGGAGTTTGGAGCACTTCACCTAGGGTCCTGTTGTAGGGGTATACCAGGACAGGGACGTCTGAGTCTGACAGCCAGAAGTCGAGAGTTGGCGCCATGATAGGTTTCATGTGTGGCTGGGCAGAAAGAATGGATTTCGCCTTAGGAAATCCGGGAGCAGGATGCAGAAGATATTGACAGTTCGTCTTCTCGATAAGAGATATATGTGTGTCCAAGCCTGCTGCCGGATGACATGTTAAAGTCTGTTATTGCATGTTAGTCTGGATTGCCGAGACAGCTCAACCCAGAGGGACGGGGACAGTAAACAAACAATATATCCTGTCTTCACAGCCGCCACTGCTAACACCATGTATGACAGGTCCTGCGGCGCAACATAATGCAATGCCTCAAAGCTCGAGCTTCGCGAACCGAGGGTCTCGACGATCCACCAGGCGGCGCGATTCACGGCACGCGCGAACTCACCATAGGAGACGTCACGGTATCCCGCACTCACATCATGGCTATCGCATGGGATTGACACCAGAGGCTGGTGCGGGTGTAGATCAGCGAGCTCATCGAGGAGTGCTGGTATGGGAGTAGTGCGGCAAGAGTGTTGGAAGTGTTCTGCGACTGAAGGCTTCATGTTAGGCTATGTTGAATTGGGGATCTACGAGGCAGAGAGAAGAAGCTATAGAATAATTACTATCTGGAAGAGACCTCGAAAACCGACATCGGCATTAAGGTCCACCAGTATAGACGCTTGCCAACTGTTTGGCGCTCAATGTGATGGAACGCCTGTGTTGTATATATTGTACTGTACTGTGCAATACATACGACTATCTGTTCGGGTAAGGTACTGTACATATATCGCGGGTAACACACTGAAACGATACGTGCCGGGGTGGTCCCGGCGTGGGGGCGGACAGTCACAGGATGCAAGAACCCTAATGCCTCTGCATTCCCATGCGTCGATCCGAAGGAAGACGTGGCTAAAGGGATGATGTGATATCAGGAACGCCATTGCCCGCAAAAAATATATATTATTGGTCTATCATGAACATACAGCTTAGACAACATGTACTCAGTAACTAGTCATACAGCCGGCCCCAAACTATCCTTCTATGGCACCATCCCTTCGGAGAATCCCCCTATCTCAAGCCCGTTCAGGGATCGGTTATGGATCGCCCCACAGGCTGACTCCCCACTTGAACGTCGTTCTTTACCCATATCTTTCCTAACGGAATCTCATTTCGATCCGTCTCGCCGGTCTCGCAGGACACGCCCGTTTCGAGGCTTGGCAGATACCGGTGGCCACCAGAAGGAAGGGTTTCGAAACCTCGCTTGGGTCCGTAAGCCCGGTAGGATTCCGAGACCGCTGAGGCACTGGTGGCGCCGGCGGAGAGGTTGAGCTTGTGGAGGGCCCATCGCAAAAGAGGGCGCATGGTCGGTAGGCAGGCCGATATAACTCCGAGAGAGACCTCAAGGGAGGTCCAGATCACGGTGCCGTTCATAGCCCCTGGAAGAACGTGAGTGGGGATATCTTAGACTGGAAATGTGGGGTGAGACGCATACAGGTGAAATCAGGTTCGTCGACCCTGAATTGCTCGTAGAGCCGGACGCAGCTACATATGACGACGCTAGAGGTGACAGGTCAGCGGTGCCGGCGGCTATATAAGAAAAGAACTCGTACAATGATCCCAACAAGAAAATGAATGACAACGAGACCTTCTGCGGCCTGGTGGTCTGCAAAGCCCAGACCATTCGAATGGGCATGGCAAGGATAAGGACATCGGTTACGATGTTGGGGACCGCATTTCCAATGTAGAACCTCTTTGTGCTGACGCACTTGGGGTTGATAGCCTTATCCCAAAATCCATGGATAGGCTTGCAGGAGAAAATGGAGATCAACACCACCGCAATCCACCACGCAAAGACCACTGCTCCGATAACATATACGGCTACTCGGAACTGTCGCACAGAGAATATCCGTTTGTAGTAGGCGAGAATCGATGTCTTGATGAACAGGATAGACGTGGCGTAGATCAATTGGTAAGAGTAGAGGCACTAGTAAGCAAACATGAGCGTATATCTCGGATAGCTAGCGTGATTGAGTCAAACCTGGAGGTACTTTGGAACGTTTTCGAGGGGTACGATCTCAACATGCAGTCCAGAACCCAGCTGAACCACTGAGGAAGAAGGCAATTGTTAGTGGCGCAGTGATATAGAAGTTGGTCACTATCACATACTGATCATAGATAGAGCAAAGCATCCAAGCGTGAAAATCTATCGTTTTCCATGGTCAGTCAATCACGAACCCTCTCTAACCGCACGAGTCAGATCTCACCAAGCCGACGACACATAGGTAATCGTCTAGCCCAAATCGCATCTTCATCAGACCCCGAGACCAGAACCGCAAGACTAACGCCATTACAGCCAAGGCCGCAAAGGGGATGAGAATACCCCGCGTCTTGCCTTGCTGACTCTCAGTGAGGTCAACGCCGGCAGTAGGTGTGGAAGCCATGGTTGCCTGGCTCACATCTAGAAACGGGAGACAAAATCCAGTGTCTAGGAGGCCGAGTACATATTCAATGAGCTGACGGCAACACCACTTGTTTTTATTTACCGTTCAGGGGATCACGGCTGGGGCGGATTATTGGCAGGCCAAATAGGGTTGGCGGATACCTGCTGCATTGCGGCTAATAGAGTAAAGTTTCCATGGATGGCAATAATGTCAGACCCCAAATCATGCTACATGATGTCCAACCCCCCTCGTTTGAGAAAGCCGGAGGGTAAGTAGCGACCGTGTCTAAATCCAGATAGAATCCAAGCCATCGGGGGAACAGGGAACTCGTGGCCCATGAGAGCGGCAAAATGCAACCTCGGTTTAGCGTCTGATACTCACCAATCAACCGATGGGCCGTGTCACACTGCTTTCCACGAGATGCAGAGCTAAAGAATCTTGGCCGGTGGCCCTATGCGCAATTTCAGCTGAAATCCGATAATCTTGTTCCTTGCTGGGATCGTGAGACTGGACGGACAGGCCGCCGATACAACTACGCCGCAGGTCTGGTAGGTCTAGGACCAGGCAGGGAAGACATTGGCGAATACTATATTTTCACGTGCACTCATAGGTGAAATCTAGCCTATCCCAGTGGGTAGTGGCGGAATTTGAATGCACCTGGAGAGAATCGAGGTCGAGGGACCTGTATTAGAAACCACCGGGAGGGAGCTAGCTGTTGTGGCTGCTGTACAGTACTCTGCAGGCTTCAGGGGGATCCTGAATATTGATTCATGGATTGCCTAATCAAGTCCTCCGTAACCCGTTTCCCAAACATTTTGCCAGCGCAGTCTTAATAACTCTGGGAAGTCCATGACTGTGTCTAGACGGGGAACTAAATTCTGACGTTGCAGGAGACTAGCAGCCTTAGCGCGTCTTAGGGCATCCCAAGCGTTATCACCACTGAAGTGCCCAATGGACAAAGGACCACGAGTGGCGACAGTGACCATATCTTTTTTTCATGGAAGGTGCATTACAGCAATGACAAGGTTTTCAATAGTTTCACAAATTTTGGTTGTGTTGAAAATAATAGATCGCCAGTCTATTTGGAGTAGAATCAATCTCGCTCCGGCCTCCGCTATCGTCGTAAGGATCAATAAACCCCGGGAGCTCCAAGAAGTATTTAACTGATCTTTTCGGGGCCGGCGTAGTGGGGAACAGCGCTATTTTAGACCAGGCAACTGGTTTCAGAGCCAGAGCCGTCTAGACTCTGAACCGGCACATTCTCTAAGTAGAGTGGCAAGTCTCGACATGATTGGGGTAGTATGGTAATATACGCAGGGATAGGATCTAGTGTAATTCCGTTACAACACATAGTCGCGTATCTGAATGTATCGCTCGTGCTTCTATCATATCAATGGGTTGTCAGGATCGAGCGATAGCCGCTTCTTGTGAAGTGACACATCACCGTGTGTGATCTTTGGGATTGATCTCCACAACTCGTTGGCGGCTCCAGAGAAATGACTGGTGCCAGGTGCAATGCGGATACCGTAAGAAATACGATTTCTTCCGGACCAATGTGTGAAAGACGGATCATTAGTATGGCAGTGCAGGTCCAATTGTATCAAGAAGATGTGATGTAAATCTCGATCACGTAGGGTGCTTAACGGCTGGCCCCAAAGCTAGTATGCCGGTGAATCGGGGCAGAGGATATGTGTTGGCGAAGCTTTCCCACCAGTATCGCCGTTGTTGATCTACGTGCCCCGAGTGTAATAATATCTGACACCTTTTTTTTCTATTTAAGTGTGACCGTCGCGAGAGAACACAGGAGTTTCATTGTAGCTGTCAGCAAGTCAGAGCAAATTAAAGTTTGAAAACATTCACTATGTCGACACCTCCTCCGGAAGATGGATACACTTTACGACGAAACTATATGTCGTCGATGCGGTAGTTCTCATTGCACTGAGCCAATTGAATATATCTCGCACGGTAGCTGACAATCTCTCTAGATTAAATGCACAACACTACCTCTGGAAAGACGCCGTCGGTTCGAACCTGCATCCAGCAATTCCCGTGCCGAACAAGGGCAAAGATGTGCGGATTGCAGATATAGGAACGGGAACTGGGTATGGTTTAATTAAACAACCTAGTCGTTCATCTCCGCTCTTGCATCCGGTACTAACGAGTTAGAATATGGATGACAGACATCAGTCGAGAATATCCCGCCGCCGAAATCGACGGCTTCGATGTCTCCTTCGATCAGTGTCCCCAAGCGCAGTGGCTTCCCAAGAATACCTCTCTTCGGTATCTTGACCTTTACCAGTCTCTACCTGATGATCTTCATGGAGTCTATGATATTATTCACCTGCGACTGTTTCTCGTGGTCATTCGAGACGATGATCCCGTACCTGTGTTGAGGAACCTGGTTAAAATGCTAAGTTAGTCTGTTCATTTCCATGCCTACAACGTGTGGATACTGAGAACTCTACGCAAAGAACCGGGCGGCTGGATTCAATGGGCAGACCATAACCTCGATTCATGGACGGTCGAAACCATCGCACCGGATGTGCCTAGCCCAGCGATGGAAAAAATGCGGGACATGATGGTGAATACCGGACTGGGCCGGTACGCTCGACACTGCCCATTCCCCACCCATAGTGCCTTGGCTAATACCGAAGACTGATGTGATTTCCAGCTGGGTCCCACGACTTCACGATACTTTCAGCGAACAAGGCTTAATTGACGTCCGAAAAGACTTCTATCCGATTGCGCCTCACAGCAGGTTATATTGGAGCCAGCTGCAATTAAATTCCAACGAGGAGTACAGCTATCTGGGCATGGATAACAGCACGCAGGACGCCGTCGGACCGCAGTATCGCAATTTAATTGCACAAGCGGCCGAGGAAGGGCGTAACGGGGCGGCGTTTAATTTCACGCTCGAAGTCACAATCGGAAGGAAAGCCGCGTAATACACTAGAGTAAGGTATGGTAATTTGATCGAATGTAACACAAATCTGGTATTTAAATGGATTAGTTACCGAGTCAGATAGAGTCATGATAGGAAGCCTCATTTCATCCACTTTGGGGGAAGGAGCGAGTCAGAAACAAGACCTCTGATACGCAAGGCTGGGGGCCGGAGAGTTAAGAATAGTTTGCTCCCTGGCTTCCTCTGCCAGCGCTGATCCTAATGGTGAATGTTCAAGCATTTTGAAACTACAAGTAAATCCTCCTCGTATCCAAAATGACAACACAAGAAGAAATCCTGCAGTTGGCTCTGCGCATGGAACAAGCCCCAGAGACTGTTAAAGCAGGGTCAATTGATGGTGCTACTCACGGGCGACTACTCGCTGCGGCTCGTCAGCTCGTCGCAGCGTTGGAGACGCCTGAGACTGAACTAATGAACATTGCGAAAGCGGTAAGAGAGAAACCTTGATCGAGATGTTACTATTTAGTACTGATAGGGAATATCAGCCTGTAGCAAACGCGGTCTTGCGAACGGCATTCGAAATCAATCTGTTCGATCAGTTCGACAAAGGAGAGACGACAGCGAGTGGGCTCGCAAGTCGAACCGGAGTTGATACCTTACTACTTGGTGAGTTGAAACCACGCTGACGAATATTGTGAGCGACCTAACTGTATAGTCCGTATCTTGCGAACGCTGGTATCACTGGGGATATTTGTCGAACCGGAACCAGAAACATACGCTCACAGCGTACGCTCCAAGAAGCTAACCAATGCAAAAATCCGGGCCGTCGTCCGAGGAATGTTTGCAGCCCCAATCTCGAGTTTCAGAATCATTGCTAAAAATAAAATTAGGGCCGAAACGGCAATGACAATGACCTCACTTCCAGGGTATCTGTCGTCTATCAAATACGAGAATCCTGCAGATCATCAGCCGGCCCTATTTGGATACGCAAAGGGCACAGACAAGACGATGTATGAGTGGCTAGAAAGTCAGCCAGATCAGCGAAGGATCTTTGCAGAATTCCAAGCCGCTTCGTCTGAGATTTCACATCATCGCTTGAAACCCTTCTTGAAGGAGGTGCTGTCAGAGATTCCCGCAGGATTTCAAGGCGCATTTGTTGATGTAGGTGGAGGAAAAGGGGTTACGTTGCGTGAGGTCTGTCAGGAATTATTCCCTCCAGTGGAAGGTCGAGTTGTCCTGCAGGATTTGCCCAATGTTGTCAAGGGGGTTGGAATCCAGGATGTAGTGGAGGCTATGCCGTATAGCTTTTTGGATCCACAGCCGGTAAAAGGTATGTCATTTTTTCTCTTTTTTCTGAGTACACATTAACACTGTGTTCACAGAGGCAGCAATTTACTTCTTTCGCCATATCCTTCATAATTGGTCCGATACCGTGTGCCTGACGATTCTCAAGAATACGATTTCAGCTATGGCACCCACATCGCGAATTATTATAGTTGATATGATGATACCAATCCAAGACCCATCACAGTACATATCTTTCATTGACATCAGCATGATGGCTTTTGGAGGAATGGAACGCACCGAGGCTCAGTGGCGGAGATTACTTGAATTAGCTGGACTGAAGGTTACAAAGGTTGAGCCCATGGATCCGTCGTCGACAATTTCGGACTATATCATCGAGGCAGTGCTGATTTAGTTTATCTGGTGGCTTGGCTGAAGAAGTACCAGCAGTATCTCGTCAATACAGATAGAAAACAAAAAGCTTAGCACTATTAGAGATTTTCCCCGGCCTGTCTCCGCACATAGTCCACAACCACGTCAGGAACCACCAGCCAAGGCGTATGCGCAGTCTTGACCTTCTCCGTCTCAATTTGAGCCCCCTTGTTGCGCGCGCTCTCCACCATCAACTCCTGAACAAACAAGGGAATCGCCCTATCCTCTTCACACAGCAAATAGGACGCAGGGATCTGAAGATATGCGGCGCTCGTGGCAGGCGTATTCTTCGTCGCCCAGGCATGCGGCCGAAGAGTCTTAGCCCATTCCTGACCGTCGGGAACATCGTGAAAGAAGAGAGTGAACGGGTCGCTGGCAGAGACGGTTCGATTTTCCTCCTATCGCGCATTTTAGTGAACTCTCCTTCAGCCTTACAATCGCGTATCTATAAATACGCAAAGTGGGTACTTACGTCACGAATATACCAATCCGGCGGAGTGCCCCCGAAAGCACCGATCAGGCTCTGGCCCACGTCTGGGATAAAGGCAGAGATGAACACCAACCGGACAACGCCACCTGTCTTGCCCTCTTTCTCGCGGTCTGTCTTGCTGAGGCCGTCGAGGGCGCTGTTCACGGGCAATCCCGACCAGCTGTGCGAGACGACAACCACATCCTTGCCGGCATTGGCCTCCGCCTCGACGAGGGATCGGACGGTCTCAATGTCCGGCCGAAGGTCCTCCACCGCAGGCGTCTGCTGGATAGAGGGGAAGGCGACCGTGTGGCTGGTGTAGCCGTGGGTATTCAGCTTCTCGATAATGGGGTTGAAAGCCGTGGCCGGGTACCAGGCACCAGGGGCGAAGACGAGAACAGGTTTGGCGGCCATTTTCAATGCAATTGTGATTATCTGTAAGATCTTCAAAGAGAAAAGGGGAAAAAAAGACAAACTGAGCATTGACAGGCTATATCCGCGCCGAGGGGCTTAGATTAAATGCAATTTCTCCCTTTCTTTGTTGACTGGGATGGGGTAACAGGGCCTCATTTTAGCGATACCGCTAGTATACTAGTTGTATGAACGCAGTCACGCTAATTTAGTGCAGGAGACACTGGGAGAAGGGAACTTGAGGGGCTGATCGGGGCAAGACTAATTTGAAACACTGACCACGGTGCTCACAATGAAGTCAGAAGAGGTAGAGAGTTGATGCCAGAGATAAATATACACGATTAACCCCGTGATAGAACTGACTTGTTAGATATCAAATGACTACATATTGCTCTATTAACTTAGATTGAATGTTGAGCTGAATGAAGCGGCGTAGTGATTGTCACCTCCTGAAGCCAGGGAGCTTCCCGGTACGGAGGAACATTCCGGTTCCGGTTACTGTTAGTTAGTATAGGATCAAGGGACCCTCCGGTAGGCATCCAGGAATGTTCCTCGATGCCCTGCAGGCAGTATATAGAGGCCCTGGATCCTCCCTCCTAGATAGCCTTTCCTCCCCATGGGAAAATTCCTTGACTACGAGTCATAAACAAACCTGTCTTTTACTAAGCTCCTTTGTAGACCGTCACAGTGATGGGGTAGTGGCGCTTATAAATAATTAGAAAATCATGCCGCATAGCCGAAATAATTCTACGAAATGGGCAGGCAATATTTACGGCCATGATCGTCCAATTGCATACGCTGTCCAAGCTTAGCCATCAAAATTTTCAGAGCGGATATATCCCCCTTACTCTCGTCAAGATATCTATCATCGTTTTCGTACTCCATATCTCCACTGTTGTCTCTACGAATCATTCTGTCCATATACGGGCCTCCTGAGCGCCCGTCACAAAACACCTGGTAGATATTATGAAAGCCAATCTCTGTCTGTCTCTCTCTCGAATGGTTGTGCATCTTTCTCCTCCCGGCTTCTGGAATAACCGAGTCGAAAATGCTGCAAATGTGTGAATCTTTCCTCGAATGCCCTCAGGTAATCATGTCAGCGTCTTCCGTATGAAGCATATCCCATGTTGCTCTCGAACTTGGAGTGGGACTTGAAGTCATAAGTTGACAATCGTGTATGAACGTGTACTTTCCAAGGGCCAGAGTTTTGAGGCGCGAAAAATGGAACTTCAGCAATTCACACTTAGGATAGAATCCAAAGTATAGGTTAGAATAAAGGATAAGGTGCTCTAGTCTCGAGGTCATTGGCTTCAAGCAGAATGTCGAGAGCTTAGGGAAGAAATTGTGCACCTCCTCTCTCCGAACATAGAGTGAGCAATGTAAGCGGCATTGGGAAGAAACCGTATCTCAAGATCATCGCCCCCGTTAATTTGATTGGTAATGTTGAGGCGGAGCGAGATAATCTCTTTCAAAACCTTCGTGATGTTTGCCACAGTAGTAGGATGCACTGGGATGATGTTCCGTAAGTTTTGGATTGTTAGTTCCCGGAGAGACTTGGATAGAGAGGCAAGCACAGACAGTGTATTATGCATTACTATGTCGCGCATGTCAATGGTTTGCCATACATCATAATTCGAGTTCTTGTCATCACTGCAGTCGTAATGAAAGCGTAGGACAGCGCTTTGTAGGCGAGGAAGCGCACTGAGACAATGGACGAGTTGCCAGAATGGTCGTGGGATATGTTCCGGGTAGTTGATGCGACTCTCCATGATGTTGTATTCAGATTGTTCGTCTGAGTTGATCTCACTCCTTGTGTAGCTGTTAGAGTCGTGGGTTTGTAGGTATGTATGTTTATTGTAGTGGAAATAAGGGTCATCATCGCAATCAATGGTGTCTATATAAAGCTTCACAACCGACCTGCCAGTCCTGGGTCATTCACTATTCTCTGGAAGTTGGGATAATTTCCCTTGAATGGGGAGACTCGTGCTGTTCAGAATGTCCATGTTCGACCAACTTCGCCGAGAAACCCATTAGTGAGACGTAGTCTGTTCCTCGATTTCTGGTCGGCAAGTGAAAAGGTGTGATGGAGGATCTCGATGGGAAGATCTAACAGCCCTGTCATGTTGAGTTCTTCTCGACAGATGATCGAGATAGTAGTGACCCGTCAAGTTTCAAGACTTTCGAATTTGCCTTTTTATGATCAAGGCCACAGTGACTCATAAAACTAGCCAGCAACTAGGCCTCCACCTGTTTTAGGTGCACTAATTCATACCATTGAATTAGTACTCTTGGCAGTAACCATCACAGAGAAGTTGCCTTTGTTAGGCTAATATGTTTAGTGAGACTATATTAGAGCTACAGTGAAATTGCAAGCTAAGATTGCGTACTATAATTTGTGAACTATGGCACAAGGATCGTTTACTAGTACTAGGAGTAATTTAATCTGAAGTGTGCAGTCTTGATTGAACAGAAACACAACAAGCTAGAAGGCCGTCCGGGATAGCCAATCCGCGTGAGAATATATAATCTAGGTTAGAAGTCAGTTGGCCTAGTCTTGCTCAACATTTCAGGGTAAAGCACGTAAATCGGATCCAGTTGCTGAACCTGTCCTGCAGCAGGTTCGCTGATGGCATAGCCGATGAAGTTCTGGGTGGCCCGGTCGTACTTTTTCACGACATCTTGGGGAACAGCTAAGAATTGGTTCTCTTCCTGTCTTAAGTAGCCTCGGGTGGCGAACGTCGAGTACACTAGGCGCTTCTCGTCCAAGGTTACATTGTTCCCTCCGCCATGATAAACAGAGGCCATCATAAGGAAAGCATCTCCTTTCTCCATCTCAGCGAAAGCACAGTCCTTCAAGAGGGGAGGGGTCTTTCTGTTCGAGTCCCTAAACGTCACGACTGAATTAGTGATTTGGTGTCTCACTGTTGCATAGTAAACATACCATAGGTGACTGCCTGGAATGAATTGAGTAGCCCCGTTTTCCTTGGTGACCTTGCAAGCACCAACCATCATTCCAACTGCCGTCTCTCGATTGACATCGCGATCGTCATTCCACACCTCGATCTCGCTCAAGATGTTATGGTTCACAAAGGAGTCACGATGCAAGGGTTGTGCCTTTCCGCCAGGCCCGATCTCCATGGCGGTGCAGGACATCGCGTAGGGCTTGGAAACCGACTCTTTGCGTCTCTCCCCCCACCAGAACCAGCTGCGCGTGGTGAGAAAGTGGTCGCAGACTGCCTGGAAAATGGGATTCATGAGCTGGGTTCGAGTATAGGTCGGGCTGAGGGCAATCATGGACGGTGCCCGTCGCGTTTCCTCTAATTAATGATTCAGAATATCAGTATGCGGTGTTTTTCTTAGAGTTGGGAAATTTGCATACTTGGGAAGAATTCGCCATCCCAAGGCAAGTCCTGATCAAGTCTATCTCTGATCTCTGCGGTGGTCTTGTCGATATCTTCGACAGGGATCAGCCCCTTGATTATGACTCCTCCATCACGCTTGAGCAAGAAAAAGATATCTTCCAGTGGAGTATCATTGGGCACATTCTGGACTCCAGGCTGGTACTTCGTTGCAGTTTGGGACATTTTGACGAGAAAGGTGGATAAGTCTGAATATACTTTGAGAGTGAGAGTTGTGGGTGAAAACTGGTATTATGGGCCTACGGAAACCATGCTTTATGTCTTCGGATGGTGTTAAGATCTGTGATGCAACATTACCCCTCACATCCAGCTAGTCGATACAATCAGGGATGAGGCAATTTTGACCAAATAATCTGTGATAAAGAGCTCAGGCTTGGTGAAAATATTGGGCTTTTAGCCAATGCTCCATGCAGTACTAGTCAATGCGGTTCTTTTCCCGACTGATTAGTTGCAACCGAAATATTTTTACTAAGTATACAGACAATGAAATGTTAAGTTACAAAACACGAACGCGAAAGAAAAAAGTAAAACGCCTCCTGCGTCACTCACAGTAATGCTGACTGTGAGATATTATCCGACAATAATAAAACTTAGGCAACGTGCAATTGCCGTATGTACCACCAGTCACGCGTGACACTACATGTCACTATTATGCCCAAAAGAGCAGGTGAAATTATTTTGGCGTCCCATCGTGATATAAGAAGCTTTGAGTGTCAATATCTCTTGCTCAAAACAGTCAAGAGTCGTTGCAATTTCAAAGGCAGGTAAAACACCCGATCCTAAACGAAACAGGGCATCTCTCGAAACAGCACCCAAAATGTTGGACAGCGAGAAGTATGCAATCCCCGTGGGCTCCGTTGTTATGGTAACTGGTGCCAATGGTTATATTGCGTCGCATGTTATCAATATCTTGCTGCAGTTAGGCTACAGAGTGCGAGGTACAGTGAGAACCGAGAAGCCATGGTTAGACAAGTACTTCCACGAGAAGTATGGGGATGAGATGTACAAGTCCGTCATCGTCCCTGCATTGAATGATCCGGTCTCTTTGAGCGAGGCAATGGAAGGTGTTTCGGGAATTGTTCATATTGTAAGTCGATCGTTTGCAGATGGACGAAGTAAGAGCGCTCCGTATACTTATGTCTTTCAATACAGGCAATGGACCTGTCTTTTGGCTCCGACCCGAGTGCTCTCACATGGGTGAAACAAGCAACGGAATCCATGCTCAAATTAGCGGAGGACAAGAAGACGGTAAAGCGGTTTGTTCTGACATCATCCAACTCCGCTGCCCATTTCCCCACGCCCAATGTGCCCGTTAGGATCGATGAAAGTGGGTTGTCAATTGGAAACCCCATTGCAAAGAATCATTGGCAGGCAGTCTGACACTCTTTTTAGATACTTGGAACGAAACTTCTTACAAGGCAGCGTGGGATGAGTCTACTCATCCGGAGAAGAAGGGATATCATATATACGCGGCCGCCAAAACGGAGGCAGAAAGGAGTGCGTGGGAATGGGTAAAGCAGAATCGCCCGATGTTTGTGTTCAACAGTGTCTTGCCGGATGGAAATGTGCGTGCTTATTGGAAGATGATATACTTTCTGCCTGATCACTGACATAAGTAGTATGGACGGATTTTGCTTCCCGAGATATACGGCTCAACGATGGGCTCGCTCCGAGACGTCCTCAAGGGTGATGATACAATAATGCGCAGGTTTCAACCTCGTGAGTTCCCAAAACAATACTGTTACACACATTTGGATGACTGATACATTGTATTCCTGCTAGAATGGTATATCAATGTCGAAGACACTGCACGTCTACACGTTGTAGCCCTTCTCAATCCAGATGTTAATGGTGAGCGAATTTTCGCATTTGCTGCCCCATTTACATGGATAGAGATTATTGCAATTCTCAGAAAACTGAGACCGGATAACACGCTAATTCCGGATGCCCGCGAGGATGAGGGGGAGGATATCAGTGATGTTGTGTTGGCTCCCAGAGCCGAACAGTTGCTTCGCGACTTTTTTGGACGTCCTGGCTGGGTTGGACTGGAGCAAAGTATCGAGGAAGGACTTGAAGGCATGGAGGAATAGTAGAGAATATTCTTACAGTTACGTGGTACACGCTCTAATGACTTTCTGCTCTTCCGAAGTGAGTCTTCATGGAGAACAATGCCCTGTAGAATACTTGTAACCCAAAAAAAAAAAAAAAAAAAAACTTGGGAGGTCAGTAGTAGAAAATATTGCTCCTTAACGTTGGTTGGTTTTTTATTCCATGAACGCTATATCCTCGATAAAGAATTACAGTGATTTTCGGACATGCTCAAGGCTATTGATGACGTCATGGAGGCGGAAAAGGCACTGTTGCGTGCTTTCTGACAGAATGGTTCATGTGTCAGACAGTTGCAATCAGAATCAAAGGACTTGCCACCTAACAAATCTATATCTTTGAGCACATACTGAGCAATGCCAGCCAGAATGGAAATGGTGTTGAATGACGTGTTAGTTGCCCCTGAATTTCCAGACCAATAGACTCTGTGCTGAGATGATCGACTAGACACACACCTCTAGGATGCATATCTTGTCAGAAATGCAGTGTTCCCTAAAATGAATGAGAAATTTTTTCACGTTTTATCCCGTCCCATACTGAATTAGCAAATCTGTTGACATGAGATGCATCAATATCTTGAAATACAGGCTTCGGAGCAAACTTTCGTCATGGTAGCTACTCCACCTTTTAGCCTCTACGCCCTGTATCTTACTATTCTTCCGAAACTACTGTATCAAGCAAATATTTTCGAGCGGGTTTTGAATTGGCCATATGCGGTGCTCAACAGTTTTGTAGTACCCGCAGTTAGCCTATTGAGCATCAACAAAAGAGTTTGCAGGTTGGCTGGAACCTCTTAGTTCGGATCGTCTTGTTCATAGCTGAATTTAAAACTTCAAAGTGTTAATTTTAACAATTCAAATGAGGCGATAGAGCGCTACAGTTTTCAAATAGGGCTGCTTTTGCTAAGGGCAGGTGGGTTGTGATGTGTGCTTCGCCCATACCATGTACCATAATTCACGAAATGGATAGATATTGAATATACCTTTTTCCAGTAGCAACATATCCTGGAAATTTAGTTCTCGGAATATCCTCTCATCGTAAGTGGCTACCAGGTATCGCGCTCAGACGGCGTCATTAGCAGTTGTGCTTTGTCCTACTTATATCTCGGGCTCATGCTGTGAAAAATTTAAGCCAAATTTGGAAGTCGTGGGAAGCCTAAGGTTTCCCTATCGGATTACTACTGTATTTGGAAAGTGATCTGTGCATGCTTTAAAGCTTTTGTATTTTCCATACGAGTTGCTAGTGGATACGAATGAGACAAAGACGAATCAAGCGACAGAAATCGGGAAAGTGTGGCTTACCTGTTAGACAAGTAAAAAGAAGCAGGCCTGGAACTGCGCAAATTGAGGACTCCATGGCTCCAAGCACTCTGGGGTTTCACTTTGCGTATATGAGCTGGTCGTTGCTCCATGTAGTCGTTTATTCAACTCGACTTCCTATATTCTTCTTGTCATGGTAATTCTATGGTCATCACCACTTCAGTAAGTGTTTGAACTAATTTGAAATGATATTTTCAAGCTGGTACGTAGGCGATCACCTTGAGTGATATATGACTTCATATATATATTTTTTATGGTTCAGCCATAAACTTGCACAGCGACTGGAATTCGAATATTGTTGTCCTACGGCTAGGATATCCAATTGAATCTAGTTTAATGTGAGTATAACAACTGTAACTTTAAATAATACTATTCAGGCTTCATAATTCTTTATTCACCATGACACGAAGGGGTGTTCTCAATCTGGAGATATCTCTGAAGGGAGCATGATAGCAAACGAATTTAGATTGATTTTTCATGGAACAAATTCCGTGTCTTGTAGAGCCAGAGGAAAGAAAGATAGCATATCAAGAAATATGCAAACGGCGATAAAATGACTAAGAACGATATTCTGCAACTTGATGATTATCCCGCACAGGTATCCATCTTCAACCATAGCATGATTATGAATCTCCTTGCATAGCCGCTCTCACGATCCCCTCGGCCTTGACCTGAAAGTCACAAAATATTTGAATTGCCTAATACGCGAGTTAGAACATAGAGAAATCATGGACCAGAAGTAATGAACATGTAATACCTGGCCGAGTTTCAGTTGTGCGCTTCCATCGTCTGCGTGGGCAAAATCCATTCGGTACTTAGATTCTTCATCAATATAGGAAGTATAGTCCATTTTCTGTGCGTCGGTCAACTGTTGGTTGAATAGTGATGCACTGTGGATTTCAGACTCTCCTCGGCGAGTAGAATCCAACAGCCGAAGATCATCAGGGACGATAGTAAAGGCAGCGACCCCTGCCAATTGAATAATTTCATCGACGCCAATATTTGCGCACGCTTTCACTTTGGTTGGTAGATAGTTCTGATCATACCATCTCTGAGCTCTGACACACAAGTCAAGAAGAGTAGCCCCGTCACGATAGCTATTCAGCTAAACGGGTTAGCATTTCAAGACCTGCGATAAAGGATCAATCGTGTAACAGGCATCAGACCTTTCGTCAAACAATGCCTTCAGCTCATGGATGAAAGGAGAGATGGACACACATCCCACCTCACCCGCCAGAACTGCTTGCTCCATGGTGAACAGGGTTGTCCCCAATGTCTTGATACCATGATCCCGAAGTTCGCGACACGCTTGAAGGCCCTCCCAAGTGGCTGGTACCTTCATGACCAATCGAGTCCTATCGAATCCCGCATCCAGAAGGGCGAAGAGTTCGTGAAATCCTGCGTTGAACGCGGTTTCGGTTAGTGGTCAATCGGTTGAAGGGTAGTATAACTCACTTCTGCCAATAGCAATGATCTTCTCTTTCGAGTACGCATACCACGGGTTGGCCATAACATGAATGTCTCCTTTCACGAATGGGCGAATTTCGATCGCCATGTATACGGCCTGTCAAAAGGTCAGATCTATAGTTGCATAGGTCTTTCTAACGTACCGCAGCTTCAACAGCAAGCTCCTCCATAGTCACCGATGCAAAATTGCCATGTTCCTTTTGGGCGAGCTTGATTGCCTTCTCCAAGACGTCCTTCCTGCCTCCCTTTGAAAGCTCGTTGAAATACTCAAACTATGGTACGTCTAGTCAGTTCAAGATTTAGGAGGATCAAAAAATGATTTACCTGATTAGAAGTACAATCGATACAGTCTTTGAGCTCACGGGCAGCTTCAACACAAACACATCAGTTTCTCGAACATCAAACTAAGAGACTAGGCTTCATACCCTCAATGTCGAAGGTGTCGAGGTCAACTTGGGTCCTCGAGCGGAGGTACTCTAACAAAGTCATGCCGGACATGCTTATCGTCTTGGACGTACGATGAAATGGTGGGTTCAAGTTTTGCAAGTGTAAACGTGAAGAGCAAAGCCCGTATACTTGAGCTTCAGTCTTTAATGAAGCAACGTCCCGGAGCAGCTCTTTACATGCAATACCTAAATATAGAACCTTTCAATTCCCACCAGTGGGTGGCTCAGGTACGTGGTTCAAAACCTGTTTCCCATCAAGCCTTATCATGCAGTCGTACTAATGATGCGAACTTGGTGGATCACATATCTTGTTACACTTGCAGCTGGCTCGTATGGTGACAATACGCCTGCATGGCTGGCCAAGTTACCAAAGTTTGCATAGTATCACCATCTTGACTACCTACCCGTGTAGTCCATGACGCCAAAGGTGCAGTCGTAGTCAGAGAGAGCTATTTCAGCTCAAAATCCGATCACGACCGGATAACTCGGAGTGACGAAAGATCCAGCTGGTCTCGTCACACGGCCCCAGAGGCTCGAGCCAATGGCTGGTGTTGTAACCTTAACATCCTGCGATGATCCTGAGGCGAGAAATCTGAGCGCAAGAACCCAAGGTGCTAAGTATTTAATCGCAATTAAAGGGCAGAATCAGCTCTTTCACAGCCAACTTAGTCTTCAGCACTGCGTCAAGTTTCCAAAGATGTCTCGCGATAGCCGGCCAGGTGTTGGGCTAGCACAATTCCTCCAGCAACAGTTCAAACGTTTCGGGAGTGATGTTGCCATTGAACATGGTGCCTATCGTGTCACTTTTACTGAAGTACACAAAAAAGCATCCATTTTGGCTGCTCAGCTTCGGAAGCACGAGGTCCGAAAAGAGGAGCCAATAGTCATCTTGGCGAACAGGGGAATAGACCATATTATTTCCCAAGTTGCTGTTGTATATGCAGGATGCTCCTGTGTTCCTCTGGACGTTGACTTGCCCGACGAGCATCTTCTGAAATTTCTGACTGGTTGCTCAATTGTCTTCACAGACCCGGCAAATCAGACGCGACTCCCTACCCTGCACCATGTCATTGTCGATCATACTGGTATATCTATGGATATCGGCCTTAATCAGATCGAGGTGTCGAAAAGTGGGAGAGAATGTTGTTCGCATATAATGTATACCTCAGGATCCACCGGAAAGCCAAAAGGTGTGCAGGTTTTGGCCGACAGCTTGATCAACCTTGTTTTCAATCACTTCGCACCTGTCAAAAGGGGCTCTCGAGTTGGTCATGTATGCAATGTGGGGTTTGATGTTTCATTGTGGGAGATCTGGTCAGTCCTCTTGGTTGGAGGCACTTCTGTTGTTTTTGAACGCCACGAGATTCTGGATCCTTTGATCTTTGAGCGGCGAATGAAGAGCGATCGCATCGATGTTATGTGGCAAACAACGTCCCTACTCGCTACCATCGCACATGTCTGTCCGAACATATATTCCTGTGTGGACACGCTTCTCACCGGTGGCGAGGCAATCAATGTGCACACCATCCGAACCATCTTCGAGAACGGCCCGCCTCGACGTCTCCTGAATGTTTATGGACCGACAGAAACGACAATATTCACTACTTACCATGAGATCTGCCAATATGACGTGGACAGCGGTCATATACCAATTGGAAAAGGATTGCAAAATTACGATACCTGGGTGGTGGATGAAAATCTTCAACCCGTGCCGTGTGGGTCTATCGGCGAGCTTCTGGTCGGTGGAAAGGGGGTATCGCCTGGCTACTACAGACAGCCGGAAAAAACATCACAGGTATTCGTCTGTGCACCGCATCTGCTTAAAAATGGTCAGATCAAGGAGACACGTCTCTATCGCACCGGGGACCTAGTGCGAGAAACGGATACGGGCGATCTTTACTACCTTGGACGTCGGGACCATGAGGTGAAAATCCGTGGTCAGCGGGTTGACTTGGAATCCGTTGAGGAAAGTCTCTTGGAGACGCAGCTACTCTCGTCTGCAGTTGCGCTGAGGGTTATGCTAGAGGAGCCCGCGGGAGGCTCTATCTTGGTTGCATACGTGGTCCCCATCACTCCTGAGATTACGACCGACATGATCCGGGCGGCTTATATTGCTCTGGGGCCTCAGTTGATGGTTCCTCGCCTGCAGCTTACCGAGATAATTCCACTCACACCAAGTGGTAAAGTCGATCGGAAACGATTAATCAACGACTATGTTCGGCACCTTCAGCCCCTGAGAAACGGCGCGAGTGATATCCAAACGAACGGAGACACTAGTCTAGAGGAATATCTGAAGCATTGGTGGAGAGAGCTTCTGGGATGTTCGTCTACCAATTTCAATGGCAGTGACAACTTCTTCTCGTTAGGTGGCACCTCATTGCAAGCGGTTCTTCTGGCATCGAGCATCAAACAGTCGCTTGGTGTGCTAATCCCCGTGGCCGCATTATTTGACAACCCCACGCTACAGGAGATGTCGGATTTGATAACCCAGGCGAGAAACGGTGAGCCATCACAACATGAGAACCTAGCTAAAGCTATGCCTTGGCTCGATGACTGTAAGTTAGGCCAAGAACTCGAACTTTCGGGGACCTCGTATCCAGACTGGACCAGCCGGAAAGAGGGGAAGGTGTTTCTGACAGGCGCCACCGGCTTTATTGGCGCTTTCTTTCTCCTAGATATCCTTGCCCTGCCGAATGTCCAGAAGGTAGCATGCCTTGTGCGTGCTTCAGATTCTGCTACTGCTCTCGTTCGCATTCGCAATATCCTCGAGCGCTATAAGTTGGTTCTGAGTCCCGAGGAGGAGGCTAAAATCATACCTGTGGCCGGTGACTTCGCCGTACCCAAGCTTGGTCTGGACGACAAAGAGTATGAGCGGCTTTCCATGTGGGCTAGTGTGGTCTTCCATCTGGGGGCTCATGTCAATTTTGTACAGCCATATTCTAGTCATCGTGCGGCAAATACCCTTGGAACAGTGAGCATGATTCAATTTGCGAATTCTGGGCGACTGAAAGCACTCCATTATACCTCAACCATCAGCGCGTATGGACCAACTGGAATGGTCACAGGAAGTACTGAAATTCCCGAGATCGAGAGGCCCGCATCTCATGTCGACGCCGTGCGCTACGATACTGGGTACGCCCAGAGTCAGTTTGTGGCCGAGAGCATCATCTGGGATGCAGTGGACAAGGGTTTCCCCATTACAGTCTATCGTTTGGGTTATGTGCTAGGTCACAGCGAGACCGGAGCCATGAATTTGGAGGATTTTATCAGTCGCTTGATGACCAGCAGTATTCGGTCAGGCTGTTATCCCTTGCTCCCCGGGCACCGCAAGGATCTGGTACCGGTGGATTTTGTCGTTTCCGCTCTTCTTCGTCTATCATCTCATGCCGGTTATGCAGGTCACGCATTCAACCTGGTGCACCCAGATCGTGATTCCGCTATGGACCTTCCTCTCATATTTGAGGCGATTAACCAGCTGGCCGGCGAACGCCGACTGGTGGGGGTCCAATACTCCCAGTGGTTAGAGAATTTAGCCAAGGTTCCTGACTGCCCCCTCCTGTCGCTGATGCCCATGTTGGTGGAGAGGGTTTGGAGGGAGATGAGTCGCTGGGAAATGCAGCAAGACTTGCCCACATTCTCTACTGAAAATACGCGACAAGCACTTGCAACACTAGCCCCAGAGCTGTTACTTTGTCCATCGACATCATCAGTCGTCGCAAGGTACTGTCCCGAATGGATTATAGCTGCTGCAGCGTGACCGAACTGTTCTTCTTACGTTTTATCACCGTGGAGAATGAAGCAATGTTCGTGTAATTGGACCAGATGGAATTGTCCAGATAGCAGGATTGATCAAGGCCAATAAGCATTTACAAAGTCAAGTTTCATAAAGAGCATATTGTGTGGCAACCTTCCAAATGATGCAAACCATGTTTCTATTTTTCCCCATGAGATTTTCTTTATTTCGTCTTTTTTTCATCTTGCACCAATAGTATCTTAGACATGTGTTTCAAGCGTAGCCGATCAATCAAGCTGCATATTGATAGTTTGGAACACTAATTTTAAAGTCGAAGTGACTTCACGGGCCTAATAAAAGCAATATTTGCCGACAGGGATAGTTTCAGTATCTGCCACCTTTTACTTTTAATCGTGTCCAGGTCATGCATGAACTTCTGGTGGTTCTAAACTGGTCTTCTGCAACTCGCGCATGATGACAGCTTCTGCATACATTATGCAAGATCCGTTCATCTCTTCACATCTGCATGACACAGGCATATCCTTCATCAAGAGATATCTGCTACTATTTACGACTCCCGGTAGTTTCTTATCCGAATAACCAAGAGGAGCTGACGCCACCTTACACAGCTCAGAAAGTTTATAGAAGCTCGTGTATCTAATATCTTCGTATTAAGTTCGATTTTGAACGCAACACAAATAAGCTGACATATATTGGCAAGATGTGGAGGCCAGCTGGTCATAATCTTTCAAGGATCTTGAAGAATACTTGTATTTTGAATTCACTCCAAGCAGATCCATTGCTGCTTTCATCCATGCACGTTCCACTGACCCCGCTTAGCATATCTCGGAACGTGCTACACAGCTTCAAGTTTGTTTTCGCATGCCCGTTTCCTTGTGAGTCGCCTTCTAACACCTTGAATCCCGCTGTCAAAATTCCTACATGTCCTTAGTAATATCTTTTTGTTGTCATAAGTAGCTGGTTGGTTTTTTATTCTTGTTCACTACATTCTCGTCTACCTGACTGACAACTCTAATCTCATATTGCCAATAGACGCCACATTTTATATTGCACAGAATGACACATAGTGGTATCAACTCATACAGGCGATATGGACACAGATGGAGATCTTCAAAGCTTTTCGTTGTGCTTGTGACATCTTTGGCTCTGTTCTCCGGTGAGATAAGTGTTAGCTGATGGCTCTCTGAGAGGCTCTGACATGCTCGTATAGACACCTTTCTCTTCAGCTTCATTATACCAATCTTGCCAACCATGCTTGAAGATCGACTACATCAAGCTCATTCACGAACACAGTTTCTCACATCTGTAGTTCTCGCCATGAATGCTCTAGTATCTATTGTCATCGCACCATTTACGGCTTGGGTGGCGGACCACTCGCCAAAGAAAAATATCTTCATGGTATTTTCTTGGATCCTGAATGGCATTGGAACGATAATCACTGCTTGGGTTAATTCACGTGAGTAGAGGAAACACGAAATGCATCAATCTAGCTAATAATATTGCGGTTTAGTCACAGGGCTCTTCATCGGCAGGCTTGTCCAAACAATCGCCGGCTCGTTGATATGGAACGTGGGAATGGCCATCATCGCGGACACCGTCGGGCCCAACAACCTTGCCAAAGCCATGGGCTTTTCGATCTTGTTCATCACCGCGGGATTGCTGTGTGGACCGGCTGTGTCAGGCTCTCTATACCAATTTGCCTCGTACTCGACAACATGGGCCAGCACGTTTGTGGTTTCAATCCTAGGTGTCGCCCTTCAGTCCTTGATCATCAGGCCATATCATCATGAGAAACATCCGAGAAGCCCAGAGACATCGAGCGAAGAAGGGCCAGGTCCAGGTATCAGCAGACCCGGTAGTCCATACTCAGGGCACTTCCACGATAGAAGTCCACTTCTTCCTCCAACCTCCCCTACAATAAGACCAGCCTACCAATCCCTGGCTGATCAGCAACCCCGGAGGTCTGCTATCAATGATTCAACAGAGCATCAGCCTGCTACACACAATGTTTATTGGATGATGCTCCGTAAAGGCCGAGTCACCATGGCCTTGATCGCCGATGCATTGTTCGCCATCCTCATCGCGAGCTTCGAAACTACCCTCCCAATCCACATCAAGTCCATCTTTCACTGGGAGTCACTTCAAGCGGGCTTACTATTCCTACTTCTCCAGGTCCCTTCTTTCATTCTCGTCGTACCTGCAGGGTGGATGAAGGACAGAATTGGGATGCGATATCCTGTCACTGCCGGGTATCTACTCCTAGCTCCGTTCATGTGGCTTCTCGGAGTTCCGGGCCTTGGGGGAGACTCATGGGCAGGGAATGGCAAAACTGCTCAAATAATCTACATCATCGCGCTGGTGGGCATTGGCATTTTCAGGGTTCTGCCACTGGGACTGGGAGCGGTGGAGGTGTTCAGTAAGTAGCGCAATTTCATCTGGATGTGTCATCTGCTTGGTCACTCACACACCCTATGCTCTAGGGGGAGCAAATGAGCTTGGCTCTGAATACCCAGGCATTTTTGGTCCCTACGGTGGTTACTCACGCTCATTTTCCTTATCCAACATTACGTGGAAATTGGCCATGTTTGTTGGGCCATTGATTTCAGCTGCCTTGACTCAGGCCGTGGGATATTATTATCTAAATCTCTTCCTTGGTACGTGCTCATCTCGACAAATAAATCTTTTATTCTACATTATCTAACAATCTGTCTATTGCAGCTTCTTTATGCCTTCTTATGGGTACCTGCACATTTACAGTTCTTCGAGAATAATCCGTCTTACGAACGGAGTATCTAACAAGCAGTAGGATATACAGGGTCTATTTATTGAGAGTTTGCGAGGTTGCAGGTTGCTTCCATGGCAATGAAATACCGGTCTATTATTCAGACCCTTGAGCCATTTCAATCACATAACTTACTGCAGAGAACCTCTCACTATGACCAATTCTTTGTTTTATTTACAACAATCTTCGTGATAGTTTGATCTATATAAAAGTTTAAATAGAAAACACTGCGCTCAAAAGCATTACATGATCCCATAACCAAACTTCAAAAGGGACCAGATCCAAATAATCACGTCTATCAGACTCTGTCTTCCTTCCACCGTTTCCATTCAACAAGCCTGAAACAACAGCAAAACGCAACCAAGAAAAACCCCCAAATCCAGTATCCCCGTCTCCCGTCTACTGCGTAAACCAGACGGTCGCGATCGCCACCAGGGCAAAAACTCCTGCCCACCGCACCAGTCCCCGCTTCATATGATATTGCGCCATGCGATCAATTGCCTCCGATTCGTTATGCGCGGGAACTGGACATCGGGCACCTCTTTCCCCAAGACCTTGCACAGGGGTCCCCAGCCCTCTTGAAACCGCCAGCTCTGACATTAAAGGAGAAAGTGGGAAGCTTCGACAACGTTGCCATCGTCATTCTCTTAGCCTCAGTAATCTGTCCCTTCCTGGCTCTACAGACAGGTGGTAACGAGGTTTCCTGTTCCGATTCTACACCGATTAGGCTCTTCGTGGGGTTCGGTCTGTTGGTCATTGCTTTCGGCCTCTGGCAATGAAAGGTCGGAGACGACGCCACCATTCCGTTGCGGTTTTTCAACAACGGCACTGTCGTCTGGGGATCGCTTTACCCATTCTGGGACAGCATGACTGATTATATCATGCGGATACGGCCCCTTTCTGTTCCGACTACTCTTTCCTGCTAGATTAATCACCTCTTTGAGCAGACAACCTACTACATGCCGTTCTACTTCCAGGCCGGGCAAGGTGTCTCGCCTATCCGCACCGGCGTAGAACAGGTCTCCCTAGCTGCTTCTCTCATGATAGGACTTTTGGCTGGTGGCGCTATTATCACCGCCACAGGCCATTACATGCCGGTTACTCTAGACGCAGGTGCTAGTTGCGGTAGGGTTGAGTCTGTTAACGACGATTACGGTTTCGACAACGACACCGCAATGGGCGGCATGCATGGCGCTGACAGGCACAGGACTGGGTCTGAGCATCAATATCTCACACATTGCGGTCCAGGTAGTGTTCGAGAACGCCAACGACATCCTCTTCGCGAACGGCATTGCCGGTTTCTTCGGTCAGCTGGGTGTCTCAATGGGCGTTCCCATTGCCTACACAGTTTTGCTCACTGCGCTACACACCCACGTACCGCGGTACGCGCCCTCTGTTTCCGCGGATTAGGTCATGGAGGCGGGCACCCCGGGCATAGAAACACTCTCGAGTGGGCCTGGTGTGATACATGCTTTCCGGTCCGCGTGGGCGCGGGCCGTCGCGGACGTGAATATCTTGCTAGTGGCGATCCTTTGTGTCTCGGTGCCGCCGGCGCTGGGGATGCGCTGGTTAAACGTAAATAAGATTTCGGGAGAAGCGAGAGGCGTAGAAGAAGTTGAATGATGAAAGCAACAATGAGAAAGGCGACAGCAGCTTCGAGACCCTGGTGAATGGGCATAATACCCTGCCATATATCGCACCTACACGTACGGAGTACCTCTACTAGTATCCGGTGGACTCTGCACACTCCGAATCTATCCGGATGGCTTGCCTTATTTCCAAACCCAGAAATTATACAAAATTGTTAGCAAATGTAGCCTGTTAGCCAGAAGAAGTGCCTTTGGGCTGCATGAAAGATTCCCGATCAAGCTAAAACCTCTTAGCCCCTGCCAATCAGACCATTGACCCCCGCTCGAGCGGCTTGAATGCACATGTCTTGTTGAAGTACCAAGTGAAATTATCGGTAACTCGGGTTTAAGAAACTTGTCAATCACGTTTCTATTTACCTGTTGGATATGGCTGCCTCCGGCTCTACTAGCCTTTATCCGACTGTCGGCGTCGCTTCGCTTAACGTTAGGATATTGTTTGCTTTCCTCGCAAAGTTCGGCCTAGTAGTGGCTGGTATTGACGCCCCCTCCACCTCCATCGGGCCCACAAGGTTGGGGTCCAGGATGAACACAGCAACTCCGCGGAGCTCCAACCAGCCGGGTGATCCTGCCGGAAAAACATTCAGACGCCACAGAGGGGACGGCAGGTCAAGAACGTACCATTTTCCAGCCCGTGCGTTGGGTCTAGAGCTTGAGGCTAATAGGTGTAAGTTCTTTGGACAGGCATCATACAACTAATAGGACTATACCATCGGAGCATGTGAGGCTGACACGGGGAACACCAATATACTCTACTTCCCCTTTCAGCAAGACCAGGGTGTGCGGGGGATGAAAAGGGCTGTTTATCTCGACAAACGAATCAATCAATCAATCAATCAATCAAAATTCTATTAACCTGATGGAGCCTATCTATTGAAACGACAGGCTATGCAGG